TTTTATTTTAAAATTAAGCGATATCTAAGTATCGCCTTTTATTTATAAATCGATAGATAAATTAAGCGATAAAATTAAATACTAAAATATTTCTTATATATATTCGCTAATAATAAGTAAAATATTTAAATAAAATAACTATTAATAATAAAGTTCGCTTATATAAATAATTAATATTTCTTTATTAAAACGATATTATTCTTTCTAATATATAAATATTATTCTAAAATCCGTTAGAAGATTAAGAATAACTTTATCGAGGAGGAGATATCTATTATAAATAATAGAATAAAAAAGTTATAAGTATTAAGAGATAAGATAGTAAAGCGCCTTTATAGCGTAGTTATAACTTAGTTTAAATATTATAATAAAATATATTAGCCTTAAAGCTATAAGATAGATAATTTAATAATATTAGCGACTAAAAATCTAAAGTAGAAATATCTAAATAAGAAGTTATCTTATAAATTTATAAAATTATTTTAAATTATAGATAAGATAGAGACGTAAATATACTATCTACTTTTACTCTTAACGTATAAAATTTATAATATCTTTTATATATCGTTATTTAAGTCTTATTACCTTCGCGATTATAATAATATAGCGAAAGCCTTTATATAAACCCTTAATCTTATTAATAATAATAAGCTTTAAGAGATTAAAGAAATTATTAATAAGATTAAATATAAGAAAGATATTTAATATAAAGTTAAATAGACTAATTAAAGCGAAGAGTATAATTAATAACTATTAAATAATAAATTTATTAATACTAGTAAGCTAATTTAAATCTATAAATAGATAAATAATAAGCGAAAATATTAAATAATAAATAATAAGTCTCTTATTATTAAAGAGCTTAATTAATTATATAAATTAATAACGAGTAAGCGAAGGCGATAAAATAAGATATAATTATTAATTAAATTAAATATATTTTTAGATAATACTTATATTACGCGTATACTCCTTTATATTTACTACTATTAAGATATAGATTAATAAAATAATTATATTATTTAACTATCTACTAAACTCTACTATAAAGAAAATTTATTATATTAAGATATATACTATTAATATAGATATATTTTTATCTAAGATAGCTATTAAAGAATTATCTAAGAACTTTACGCTAGCGCTATTACTAAAAAAAGATTATTATTTAAGTATTCTTCGCTATTTTAATATTAAATTCTAAGTTAAATTTATTAATTTAGTTTTTTAACGAGAAGATAGTTAAAGTATAATCTTTAAGTTAATATTTATTAATATTTATCATATATCGATAAAGGCTCTTAAGCTTCTTCTCTAATAACTTATTTATTTTCTTTAATTTCTCTATATACTTATATATCGCTATAAGCTAATTTTAAAAATCTATAATTATAATAGAGACGGCTAAAGTTATTATTATTATATATTTCTATAATTTATATTATTAAGTAATCTTTTTATCGAGCTTAACTTGTCGATAAAATAGCTTTTAAGACTATCTAGCGCGGCGATAGCGTTATATTAATTTTCTTATCTACGTCTAAAGATATAGAGAAATTTTAATATAATAACTAATATCGCGCTTTTCGATCTTATAGTTATTATAAAAGAAAAACTTATCTTAAATATATAAATTATCGTCTCGATAAAAGTAAATTCTATATAATAAATTAGATATTAGGACTTATTAGTAATTGCGTATATAAAGCGATAGTAGCGGGAATAGTTAAGAATTAGTAATCGCGCTTATAAGGCGACTATACACTTACTATTAAAGTTATTATTATTATTAAAAAAGAGTACTATAAAATTGTTAGTTTACGTATTAATATAATTAATAATAATAAGATACTTATAATAAAGAGAAGTAGACTATTAATATAATAAGATATATTATACTTATATTAGTATTAATATCGACGTTATAGCGTTAGAGTAAATACTTATAAGAGAGATATTAGAAGTTATAAAGAATAAAAATAAATAATTCGAAAGGGGTTTTTATATTCTCTATCGTAGTATTATTATTAATAGATAATATCTAATAACGTAAATAGTAGCGATATAATAATATTTTACTACTATCTATTAGGCCACGTCGCCTAGTTATTATTATTATTTCTACTATTATTAATTAATAATCGAGAATATTATCGCGAACGCGTCGCTCTATTAATTACTCCCTTCGAATCTCTATAATAAAGATTATTACTACGTTATTTCGCTATAAACGTAATATATTATAAAAATAACGTTATCTATAAAGAAACTCTTCTCCCTTCTTTATTTACTAAGTTTTTAAGATTTTATTATAAATTTTTAAATCTAATATTATTCGCTATAGAGATTATTAACTAGCGTTATAAGAACGTTAATATTAAGCGCGTTAGTTTATTATAGATTATTATTAATTAGTATTATAAAAGCGATATTATTCTTAAAGATAGTATTAATATTATTATATAATATACTAGTTATATACCTACGGCGTATAAGAATTAATTCTATCGCGTTATTAAAATAATATTGTAATTTTAATAGATTAACTTTTTTTTCTTATTTTCCTATTAAAATTTAAAGGTTTTTTAATAAGTATTCTATTTTTACTTAGACGTTTAAAGATTAAGATTTAAAAGAGAAGATAATTATTAGATTTAATGCGTTATAGGCCTTAGCGCTATTTACGCTAAGACGTCGATATTATATATACTATATTAGAGTTTCTTTTAGAGTTTAGTTTTAATAATATATCTTATATATCTAGAAGCTTAACGAATATAGATTTACTTTATATATCTTAAAGTTTTAATATTTCTTAGAGATTAGTTCTACTATTAAATATATTATTAAATTCCATAACGATACTACGTCTTTTATAGTCTATATTCACTAGCTAATCGCTAGTAAACTACGCCCTTACATTATAACTATTAAAGAATTAATAGAATTATATCTATAATTTTAATAATTATAAAGAAAATAACTCGAAATTACTATATTTTTCTTTAAAAGTATATATATTATTTAAGTCTTACTTAAGAGAATTTTATAATTATTAGAATAGGTCGATAAAAGTAGCTGATATAATATAAGAAACTTCTTTTATTTACTAGCGAGATTTAAAAGAATTAGAGTCTTCTTAGAACGTCGGGTTCTTATATAGTAATTAATAAATATATAATTAAGAAGATAAGACGTATATTCTATTCTACTATAGCTTTAAATAAGCTAATTAAAAAAGAATATAAGCTCTTTATAATTAATAATAAAGGTTATATTTATAATTATATATAATATTCTCTAATATAGAAATTAGAAAATAAATTAAAAATTAAAAAACTTAAAGAAATATTAGCTATAATATTTAAATTAATTACGAATATCTTTTTAAAAAATATTATTCTCTTTATAAATAATTATTTTACTTATTCGAAGCTAGCTATAATTCTAAGAGATAGAAGAATTATAATATATAAGACTATAAAGCTTACTTAATAAGATCTTTTAAAATTACTTATAGAGATAAAATAGATATTTATTAAGAATATTTTTTACGAAGTTTTTATTATAATAGTTTAGAATAATATTCTTATAATAGTCTAATAAGATAATAATCTTATTTTAGAATTTATTATTAAATATAATATTCGAGAGATTAATATCTATATTTTTAAAAAAAGAAAATATTCTAATAAAACTAATATAAATATTTATATTACTTTATCTACTTTTAAGAAGAATAAAAAGAATATCTAAAAGAAGAAATTTAAGATTTTTAAGCTTTTCTACTATTATAATAAGTATATAAAAAAGATAAATCGATTTAATACTCTAATAGCTATATATACTTTTTAGCGAGTTTATAATTATAATTAGATACTCTTATTTTACTAGTATTTAAATAAAAGTCTTATAAATACTTTTAAGCTCTATAAATTAATAGAAGTTACTTAAGAGTATTAGAAATTCCTCGAAAATATAATAATAGAGTTATTAAAAGAAGAAGATATCTATTAAATAAGATTAAATCTTATCTCTATCTCTATACTACTAAAGATATTATAAAATAATTATAATTAATAAGACTTAAAGGCTATTTAGACGTATTTTATATATTATAAAAATATTTAAAATCGAGGTTTTAGATAAGAGATTAGTAGAAATAAAGATAATACTCTTAAGATACGCGGGGGATATAAAGTATATTAAATCTTTTTATATTATAAAGGGAATTACGTAAATAAATTTTATAAAAGAGATAATATATTAGACTCTATATAATAGATCTAGATTATATTTATTAAATTATATAAATATAGTGGGGTAGTAATCGAAATAATGGTGCGGAGAAAACAATTTGTTGCCTCTCGGCGTTTAACGGATACTTTCCTTTATTAAGGCTTCTCTTATCTTCGCGTCGCCCTAAGATACCTCAGTACCTACTTTAGGGCTAGCACCTCAAACCATCTTCCACCTTACGCTGTACTCGATTAAGCTAACGCCTTGTTTTCTTACAGCTTAGAGTACCTTATATACGAAGTAGACTCGGTGTCGATTAAATAAATTGCAGAGAGGCTAACAAGAAGGCTGGGACTCGATAAGTCAGGAATGGATCAATGACTTGGTAGAAAGCATGCCCAAGAGACTTAAAGATGTAATGCGATTAGAAGGAGGGATGACAGGTCATTAGATAGCTGTAAATAATAAGAAAAGTACATATTTCTCTTGGTGGTTGCATATGCGAGAATTAGCCTCTCTGCAATTTATTTAATCGACACCGAGGGTAGAGTAGCAACTGACCTAACCCTCAAAGACCTAGGTCCCTTGCCGCTTTAGATCTCCCAAAAAATATCACCGACATCAATCACGCTTCGCAGACAGCGTCCAAGCACACTACGATTCCACACACCAGCTCGCCCACTCCCGCGCACCTTTTCACTTCAGCCCTCCCCCAAACACTGCCAAACCAAACAACCGCGGCAACAACCAACCAACCAACCATGGTCCAACTCGAAGAAGTCGAGGATGCGGAGCTCGACCAAGCCCAACCCGGTCCCGTCGGAGACGACTACGACTCCGACGACTTTGTCGACACGGGTGTGTACATGCATCTCTTACATCTGCTCCGAAACCCCCAAACCGCATACAAACGTACCAAATACGGGTGACAGTCCGCTAACAGCCACCATCCCGGGCTGCCAGATTCCGAGCTCTCAGACGACGAAATCATATCATCCGGCCCCCCCCGCCGAATCAATCACAGACCGGTACACACACCCTTCCCTTCCCTTCCCTTCCCTTCCCTCCCCCTCCCCTCACCCCACCCCGCGCTAACACCCACCAGCCTCCTCGCCCTGCGCGACATCCTGCCCCCCCGCTACCGACGCGCCCTCTCCTCCACGCTCAGCTCCACGCTCTCGGCGACGAAGACGGGCGCCTGGTGGGGCGGCAAGGGCCTCTGGGTGTTGACGACGGGCGCGGTGATGCTGAGCGTGCCGTTCGCGGTGTGCATGGTGGAGGAGCAGCAGATTATGGAGCAGGAGCGGGAGATGAAGGCGCAGGAGGGGGCGAGGGAGGTGTTGGTGCCGGGGGGTGGGGGCGGGGCCGGGCGCGGGGGGAGTGGGTTGTAGGAAGGGGGGTAGGGTGTGTGCCCAGGGTGTTGTGTGTGAGAGGTTTAGGGGCGACGAGGGAGGGTGGTTCGGTGGGTGTAAGATATCTCTGCTCCGAGTCGGATTGCATACAGTGTGAATAGGGATTATTGTACATTGCCACTGGATCCTGAAGCGTCTATGATATGAGATTCAATTCTATGTTATATACATCGTTCATGAGTATTGCTGAGATGGTAGGCTTGATACAGGCCATACATCGTGCCAGCTGTGGATTGGCTTCAGAATCTTTCATGACATCCACAGATGTATCCAACCAAAGCGGCTTCCAGACCGATGGCTGCCTATCAGATACAGCGTGATTCAAGGTCCTTCCTGGTGCGGAGTATCCAAGTGAGTCGAACCACTCCATGCTACCGTTTAATGGCTGTATTCACACATCACCCCAATAGCCGGCGCAGACTATGGCCATATTGAAAGCTGAGGGCAGGATGGATGCCCCGTTCTCGCTATCAATGTCTGTTCGTGAACCTCTCGGGCTGTCGAGAGATCAGTTTCAGACCCTTGACTATCTTTATGAGCGTAGACGTACCTTAGCGTCTCTCGCAGCCGCTAGATTCTCTTTGAATTGCTTGTAGAGCATCTTCATGACCCCTGTGTCCTTCATGCCATCCACAACTCTATTAGTGGCCTTCTGTCTCTTTTTCTGGCGCAGATTGTCTCGCTCGACAATTTTTGCAGGGGATAAATGGCCTTCCGCTGCCAGCCACGCAAGGACACCCTGATTGAGTGCGTGACGCCAGTGATAAAGAGCATGTGCCATTTCAGCGTTGGCGCAGCAGAACCTAGACCGCGTCAGCTACAACAAGAATCTCTGACTGGGTTGTCGTATTCGAACCTGCCAAGGAAGAAGGATTCTCCCTCTTGGGTACTGCTGCTTTCGTCATCATCTGAGTCCTCCGTATCGTCGTCATCGTCGTGTTCGATTGTTTCTAGCGTATCGCGATTGTAGGGTTTGCCACAAAATGTGATTTTATGCTTTGGGGGATGATTGCTTCTCCGGCAAGCATCACACTTGTGCTCCAGCATTGTCGGCACATCAATTCTGTACAGGTCGGGTCGTGCTTTGAGTGCTTTGTTGAACTCTTCACCCCAGACAGAAGACGCGAACTTAGACCCAACGAATCCTTCAACTTCTTTATCAAGCTTCCGGTAAGCAAGCTCGTACATTTCGTCATAGCGATCAAATGCTGGATTTAGTTTGTTATGGACCATCCACTCGATCTCCGTTTTAAAGTACTCGAATGGCTTCTTGTTAGCATGGTGTGTGAGTTCGAGGGGCACGCCCGCAACTCCGAGATCAACTCCCACGTTGTCGTCCTCGTCATCCACAAAGTCGTCCTCGTATTGGTCTAGGTTGCCTCCTCTGCGCATTGCATGATGTATGGGCTCCGGCCATGATAAATTGGCCTCCTCAATATCGTCCTGCTCGTCCTCGTCCTGTCCGTTCTGCTCGTCCTCCTCTTGTGAATCTTCTCTAATACCGGCACGACGTCGTCTAAGTTCTTCAAGCTTCTGCTGTCTCTTGCCCCGCTCAGACATAATATGTCCATCTCTAGTGCGAGTACTGCGTAACGGTGTACCGGTCTCTTTTAGATCCTCCAATTCTCCTTGCAGATCATCCGAAGACTCTGACTCTTCCTCATGATCGGTTTCTCGGGTTGGGGACTGGATTTGCGCTACGGTCCTACGCTTCCGGACTGGCGTGGCCACCACATCCTCGCTTGAACTGTCTTCACTCCCATCTGTTATCACAACCGGCTTTGCTCTCTTCTTTGCGCTTCTTGCTTCTGACGGCCCAGCCTTTGCTCTGGTATCGCTATTCGTAGCACGGGTTACATGTGGCGAAATTGAGAGCTTCTGCCGCAGTCTCCTTGTAGGTGCTTCATTATCAGTCTCAAATGGGGGGCTGCTAGCTTGCGTATACGACTGAGAAAGCCTTGATTCCTTCGTAGGTGTCACTAACCTTTGAGGCGTCTGCGGCTGCGAGCTATCATCACTGGTCAAGGTTGTGGGCGCCGGCCTGGTTCTTCTGATACTACGAATAGGTACGTCGTCGTCTCCTTCTTCGCTGGTAAATCCCAGGAATGACCGTCCATCGTCTCCTGTAGTCGTGTTGGCACCGGCTACGGGTTGCATAGAGTTACTGAGAGCGTTCTGCTCGGAAGGATTGCCAGACAGTGGGCTTCTCTTCTGTGATTCTGCATTTAGAGAGGTATATCAATCTCAATAGCCGATAAAGTGCGTAATCCAAGGTGTAATTACCTGGCTCATTGTCCATTTCAACCTGTGATGATGCAGGCGGGGTGGGTAGCTGGTCCGAGCTCTTGCTTGGTGACGGAATCACCACCTGAACTTTTTGACTCCCAAAAGGCGATCCGGCATTGCTCGAAGCCCGACTGAATGGGGATCTCACAGGTGGAGAGCCTCCGACTCGGCGCTTCTTGATCGGGCTTGACATTGCATCATCGTATCGAACTGAAGCAGCTCGCTGTCGCACTTTTTCAGGGTACTGGGAAGCAGCGGGAGAAGATGAAGGCAGGGGCGTGAAAGTCAGTTGTGTCTGTCGCTTTTTGCGTGTAGATCTCCGTGGCTGGGACATTGTGGGATTTTGGCGAATGGCAGTGTTGATCGTGTAATGTGAGGAACATATGAGGTTCGGGTGAAATGAGATGAGTAGATGAGCTAGGAAATGTGCAAAACTGAGTGAAGTTGGAGGAGTGACGCGCTTCCTCGCGACTGCCAAGACTCGAACCCTAGCCGAGGAGCCCTAAGTGATCAATCTAGAGGAGTTGATGGGCTCACAGTTCGGTGGTGGGGGTAAGTAGATCCTAAGTATATACGCCGCGCCTTGTTCCGATAAAATAGAATACACTCAGCATATACTAACACCTCATCGAGGATAAAAAAAAAGAATTCAGTCTAGCGGTTTTTATATATGCGAGATAATCCTCATACGTAGAATATACGATGTTGATACTTAATATATATATATTTTTCACGAAGAAGATATAGTGAATCTGTTACGATTTAATAATAAAGAACTACTTATTGATGATATTAGATAGAAATTAAAAAGTCTATATTACATACTTATTATATGCTTATACTAATTACTTAGCGTATGTAATAATCTAGATAAAGTGTTTATAGATTTTTCAACTCGGTCTAAGTTTATTCGGGTGAAATAAATACGTTCAGCTTTACCCCCGCAGAACTTCTTTTCACCCCTGCCGAACTGTAACCCGGGAGTGGGCAGGACATTTTCACTCCATTGTTACAGCCCTGACTCCTTGGCTATGCGGACCAACAGTACCTCCATCCTCATCACATGACTTGCTCCACCTCCTTCGCCAGCTCTCTGAGGTCGGGAAAGGCTCCTTTTGCCTCCGCAATGATATCCTTCGCTCCCACAGCTTCACAAAGGTCGTCTACCTCGCCCCCTTTATCTGTCATATACTTCAACAGGCCGACGGCAACAAGCAGCCCTCTCATGCCGTCCTTGCTCTCTCTTTCGCGTCCCATCGCCTCAAGTAGACTAGCTACTAATTCCACCTGGCTGCTCTCCGGTAAGAAGTCAGCCTTCCCTTGAATGCGTTGTTGATGGTTTGAAGCAGCCATATTGAATGCTAGGGATGATGCCGCGACTCGTACAGGTGGATGTTCGTTGTCCAAGAGGGAAGATGTGACGAGTTGAAATAGAGGTGTTGAATAGGACGGCTCCATGAAGAGTTTGATAGGGAAGAGTTGTGAAGTGAACAGATTGCATGCCATATGTAAGGTCACAATCCGTAGTTGATATGGGCAGCTTGTATCTAGGCGATTGACGGTATTTAAGATCCTGAACACGGTTTCGGAGGCATCTTCAGCGTAATAGCCACTCACCCGGGGATCCACGAGGGCTAGGCGGAAGAGGTCAACTATTGGAAAAAGGCTCTCTGGCTGTAAGGTTTGAAATGATTTAGATATGAAGGCAGAGACAGCAGGCAGATCGGGAAGTGGAGCATCCACAGCACCGGACTGCTGTCGAGTTGTGACAAAACCTTTCAGAGCGCCAACAGCGGTATCAGAGCCAGCGGTTCCCATTTTGGCGATGAGCTTCTCGATTGGTGGAATTTTGGTATAAGTGACGGGCGACTTATGCAGACGTTGCAAAGTCGGTAGTCGGAGGAGAGTATGTGGATGCGGAGGATGGGCCATCTGGATCAGTAGTCGTACATTTCCACGAAGCTGCGCTTCGTTTGCGCCTGACCACTCGCTCTCTTTCTCTCCTTTGATGAACGTCATAAACGTAGGTGTGGCGCGGACTTGATACCTTGCGCCGATCTCATATGCATCAGTGAGATCGACTTTTATCAACACAGCTTTGTTGCTAGCTTCTGCTGCAAGTTCATCGTATGCTGGGTAGACGATCTTGCAGGGTGGGCAGGTGGCGGAGGTGAAGAAGATGACTGCGCAGGAATTCTGGGCCGAGGCCAGCAACTCGTCCAGTTGCTTCAACCTCGTCGGTTTATATACCACGCCAGGAACTTCCTCCTTCTTCTGCGATATGCTCATGCCTGTTTGTGGGCGAGATGAGAGCCCATTAGGTATCGATTGTGGCTGTGTTGCGGCTCGAGGGACGCTATTCGGTGGTACCGGAGCCTGTGTGATACCGCGCATGGCGTTATCGAGCTGAGGCTTCAACATCTGGCCGAAAGGCGTATTTAGAACTGTTTGTGGCAGTGAGGTGATGTGGTCTGGAATGCCTTTGCCGACTAAAAACATCGCAAAGTCATTCGTGAAGTTATTGCAATTGTGGAGGAATAGATCGTAGGACTGGGATCGTATCAGACATTAGCAATCGTTCACTGTAAATAATACGGCGCAATAACTTACCTCCATCGTATATATTGCCTTGAGCGATTCGAGGTACTCCAAAATCACTTCTAGAGGTAGTTGGGTTGCCCCCATGGGAATGACTTCCATAGGCTTTCCATGATGAGTCCTTCCCGGATATGATGTCTGAACACCTGCGCCAAAGAAGTATTCTATTCCACCGAACACCAGAGCTGTGTGGTAAACGGCCGCAATCTGTATTCCAAGCAGCTGGCCAGACATCTATAAAATTCAGCATCACATGCATGATCATCGGCGCTGTTGGAGGAGAACCTGTCTGGCGAGTCCCTACCACCCAAATGTTAGCCCATTAGATCAAGGCGAACCTGCGAGAGAGGTCCCACCTTGGATAGATCGTAAACATACAGTTCGACATCCATCTCGGCCGCTTAAGGAAATGATCTTGCACCCGTGGCTCTAGGAAGCGGGACGGTTGCAGATACAAGGTGTTTAAGGATGAAAGATCTGAGATGTTATGCTGATATGAGAAAGGTGGCCTGAACCTCTACGAAGGATGATCACTCGGGTGGCTCAGCATGACGCGGAGTCCGTTGCCTGAAGGCCTAGCCGGGCCTGAGATAGAGTACTCTAGCGGCAGCGGGCCGTGGTCAGGGACCGAACGACCGCCGGGCGGGGAATCCCGGAAATATGTCTAGGGATTTATGCAAACCACCCTTAACGTTGGCAGCCGACAATACTACTCAGAGCAATAGTTCCAACCTCTAGATACTCATGCGAAGTTTCAATTGCAACCACCTTGGATCATTGAAGGTATCTATTCTAGAGGTCGGACAGCCGTAACTCAGACGATGCGTGCCATCGCCTTCCAGGGGCATCGTATTCACTGTGCTAGACATGGCAGCTGCTCCTGCATTGCTAGGCAGAGGAGAGCAATCGCTCCCAAAGCCTTCTTCGGCAAGCATCAACCCTGTTCAAAGCTGTCTCTCTGCTCACCTTCCTGGGTATGAGATCGTTTCCAGCCCTTCCATGCCGGAGTCTCCTCTCTCATATTTGTCTTCAGACTCTCCTTCCACATCATCATACGCATCATCACCGCTCAAATCCCCAAACTCCTCATTTCCAGAGCCTCCTTGGTCATCGAAATCACTTTCCGACTCGTCTTCCTTTGCCTCGCGGTGAGCCAAAGAACTTCGCACCCTTGGGGCCTTCGATCACGGCCTTCAACTTGGCTGCGTAAGCTGGAGAAGCATAGTCGTCGATGAGGAACTGCGATCGCTATTAGCATCAGGCCAACTGCAAGCGTGACTGGCAGAGACTTGATTCCTACCTTCTCGGCTCGGCATTTTTTTAAAGGCTCCAAGCAGCGTTCTCCATAGTATCCTTTGCGTGCTGAGCCACCATGCCTGTGACCAAGAGCGTTGTAAAAGTCCACCTTGAGGATCTTGAGATCGTTCAAGGTGAGCTTCTTGCATACGTGGTTGACGTTTATGGTGGTCCAGTAGATTGCGACTGCCTGGGTACGGTCGTGCTCATTGCCCCTGGTGCTGACGTAGAGGCGCAGTTTGGTGATGAGGCGACTGTAGTGACGAGGACATTCGATCTTGCTGAAATCCGGCCAGCGCCACATTGGTCAGTATTGGTCCCCATAGAGACTCCATGTGAACCAATTATCGCCATACAGGACAGCGGCGGCTTCATCGTGGATCTTCTTGTTGGTACGCATGATCTCTGGGTGCATTTGATTGTCTCCTTCTCCAATCTCGACCATCAGCCCTTCGATGCGTTCACTTAGTTTGTCATGTTCGCTAGCGTAGCTGTCACCATCATCCTCTGCTGCGCTATCGTCGTCTACTGGCTTGAGCAATAATTCTCTGTATATTTGGTGGCGCACTGTGCGAGGGAGCTTCTCGAACTCGAATCCGCGCAACCCAGGCTTTGCGCTTCGCGTGCGCAACTCAACGGCCTCGAGGGCATGATCCTTTGCAAAAAGACCCATTTGGACGAGATCTCACCCAAGGAAGGTAATCTGTTGAAGTGGACTAAGCCGATCAGGTGAGTTGCTCAGAGGTTGTGACTGAACGAAGTCAGCAAATCTCACCGGTGCATGTGATTGTTTCATGGTGAATAATCGAGCAAGATAGTACTCACATTTGTTCTAGCGGAAGAGCATTGACAGATTTCGCAAATCGTTCATCGTGGATGAAGATGAAATGTGCAACGAGCTCGAAGACAAAACGTCAATAGCTTTGATCAGGGCGATGGAAAGTTGCGCCTCAATACAAGGCCAGTTTTCAAAGTGAACGAGACTTCATCACTAGCCGAGGTTTGGGTTTTCTTGGCGTAAACATTACCTCAGGGGGAAATATCAATTAAGCAGCTTGTGCTGGATTGCCAAGGGGATATCTCATTGCTTCGCATACAAGTACTGGTCCTATCCCACGAGGATGTGCCCTCGAATAGAATATTTGATTACAATGATTTTCTTAATCAAGTGAAGTTCAGGCCATAGATGAGTGAGAGGCATCTCGACCTTTGGCTTACTTCCGAAACACATAACCTCCTCAACAGTCATCATCATCTTGATTATGGAATCAATATGTCTACCCCGACATCTTTGCATACAAAACCGACTCTTTCCAACCCCCCTTCTCTCCATCCACCATTACTCACCTCTCAGTCAATGTCCACCCCACAGACACTCCCCGCCAGCAGCGGCACCGCTCTCCTCCTCAAAAGGGAACAAACCGTCAAGGTAACCAACACCCACGGCCGCCAAGTCGTCGACTTCTGGGCACTCAATCCTCCAAACCCCGCCGAGTATCTCTCCACGTCCCATAACCACGCCATCCACCGAAAATTGCACTTCAACAGTGGCGACACTCTCTACAGCAGTATTTCCCAAGCCATCCTATCCTAGATCAATAATACCAACAAACGCAATCACAACACGTTGATCTCAGCCTGTAATCCACTACGCTACAAAAAGATGAGAGTGAAAGGGTGACATGCTAGTTGCGCGGAGAATTATCAGAAGGCTGTCAAGAGCCTTTCCACCCTATCCCTCAGCCAAGATAAAAAAAAAGATCAGACTCCCGACCACACCGCCTACGCCACTGAATCTGTTCATGAATGTAAAGGTCAATGAAGAGGGAGGCGTTGTTTTTCGGGGCGCCAACGAGCGAGGAAGGGGACCATGTTGTTTTTAAGGCCCTCATGGATGTGATCATAGTGCTGAGTGCATGTTCGATGGATCAAAGGGCGAGTGAAGACTGGTTACCATATCCAAAAGAGGTTCACTATGCAGTGACGGAAGGTGAAGGGGTATGAACGGACTTTAGTCGCGCCGATCGATGTAGCTGCCAATGAAGTTTTGCTGTTGCTGAGTCACGATGATAAATGAATCCCTCGTTCTTGAGTGGAATACTAAGGTAGTCACGCTTGTAGGGTTTATAGCTAGCCTATCAGACACTTTGCACAGATCGGCAGCGATTTGCTAGTGTGTTGACATCGTCAACACAATTCTATAATGCCTATTTAAGGTTTCTCTCCTCCGCAACTCTTCCTTCTTAACATCAACTTCCACCGGCTGTTTCTACAAAGCCTTCGCTCCATCACCGATATAGCGCGAAACAAACATCGCCATTTCTAAAGCAACGCCTACGTACCTGTCAATCGCGTCTTCAAGAAGACCATCAACCTGAAAATGCCGGTTACGATCGTGCCAGCCAGCCACAATGATAGTAACACACAAGTCACGAGACCTCTTCAATACAAGGGCCAGCTCTTGGAGATAGACCTCACAAAAGAGAGTTGCGAGAATATGCTCCAGTCCACCTTCGATGAGCTGAAGGACCCTCTCTCCCTGGCTTCTGCCAACGGCTTTGTTCACAGTGCCCTCAAAGCCCACAGCGAGCACTACCATCTCGTTATCAGCCCTGTCAACGTCTGGTTTGCCATCCTATCACAGCTGAATATTTGGATCAATGCAAATGGCGCGGAAGCTCGGGGTAAGTTCTTCGTCGATGTGGGTAAGAAGGGTTTGACCGTCACCATTCAGGATACCGGTGACGAAGGGAAGAATGGTGAGAATGTGGTGCGCGAGATCGAGAAGAACATGCCCGATCCCGGATTGAGGGAGTGGATCTTGCCGGCTTTCACCGGGAATTCAGCGTTCAACGCTGTCGTCGCTTCCGTACTCATGATGGGTGACATGCAGAAGTACTTCAGCTACCCCGCCCGCAGCGAATGTGGTGTCCCTTCGGTCGTTCTACTTGGAGAACAGTCTGACTGGGTGGAACTGTACAAGAAGCTGGACAAGCTTGAGACATTTGGTGTAGAGCCCGCTCAATTCAGATGCCTACTGGTGCCAGTCATTGCGCGCTTCATCAAGAGCTTCGACGACCCAACAAGCAAAGACGTTGTTGACTTCTGGGGTCACATGGTCAGTGCCGAATCCCGGATTGTCGATGGTGGCGTATCCGTGGAATACGAGGGTTGGATATCTGCCTTTTGCTTCTGGAGTGAGCAGGGAGAAAACATCAATGATCGACATATCCAATTCCGTGGAGGACGAGGCTTCACACTTGACGGTGTCATCTACCACGCCATCGACTGTGGCCAAATCCCACCAGTCTACGCATCATTTCCCGTGAAGATCAACGACGATAGAAATGAAATTAATTCCCTCATGGTCGTTTGGTCTGTGGCCACGCCATGTATAATTAGCGATGGAACAAAGGTTGAGAGTGATGTGAACTCGAAATGCGTAGGCATCGCTTCAGTTTGGGGGTTGTTCAACAAAAGATCCCGTGTGAAGGAGACCGCAGAGGCGAGTGAGGCCGTTCGAGAAAATTTGGCTCAAGAAACCGAACCTAAGAAGTCGGAAGACGGTCTCAGCACCACCACCACCTGCGTGAACAAACCAGGTCTCATCAGCCGCCTCATCAACCTTTTCTTACGAACAGGTATCTCGAAACAGCGTGAACATAGCATGGCAAAAGGTGAATAGTTGGCTGTGCTTCGACCTGTCTCTGCTAGAACTCGTGCTCTCGAACTTCGTCGAGGGCGATTTGACTCAATTGGATCATCTTAGATAGTGCAAGCATAAAGACATGACGAAAATGAAAGTTCAATCATCTTGAAAAATCCGCATACGGACTGTCTATTGAACATTTGAGTGTTGAGGCTGACCGAGAGCGAGACAAAGTTGTCACCGTTGCTCACCGGTGGGCAGTGGAGCGTTGAAGGTGATGCAAATGTTGACATTTCCAGGCCGCCTGGTCAGCCATTGATATCTCATACTAGTGCTCCTCAAACGACTAGCTTGAAACCGTAGGAGAATTTCGATAAGTAGACTTTCCCGAGATGACTTTCTCGTTCCTCATTACGATCACCCAGCCTTTGACCCCGGCCGTAGCGCATTTACGAAAAGCTGGCCCTTACCGGATTCTGTGCACCTGTTGATATAACCGTAGATCATACCATGATATAACCGTAGATCATAACAAGGAAAACTACATCAACCGTTATCACACAGCCTTTTCTCGCCACGGTAATGTGTCTTTCGTTTGATATGAGCTGAAGTGCTCGATACCGCGGCTCGACACCATTCGGAAATTATCGGAAAAGGGATCTTCCACGACAGCCCCTTTCCGAGACTGTAGCGCGCGAGATTAGTAGGTACCCGGCATAAGACTCAACCTCCCGCCGTCAAGTAAGACCACGTTGCCATTGCAGTAAGCGCCCGCGCGGCTCGTGAGATACAGGATGGCCCCACCCATGTCTTCGGGGGTACCGACTCTTTCCGCCGGGATTGTCTCCTTTGGAAAGACGCCGTCGCCGATGATACCGGCGGCCAGGTCGGACGGGAAGACTGTTGATGTCAATGAGTCAGAGTCCTCCCAGAGTGGAATGGATGGAAAGACTTACGTCCCGGAGCGACGACATTGGCCCTGATCTTGTACGGCACGAGGTTGGTCGCCATAGCCTTCATCAACAGCGTCGTCGCCGCTTTGCTCTGGCCGTACGCGTAGCCTCCCGGTACCCGCCTGTTGAAGCCGGCGATGCTGCCCGTGGCGATCACCTGGCTCGTCTGCCCCACGTTCCCCTTCCCGTTCCCCGCGTCGAGGAGTTTGAGGAAGGCGACGGTGCAGAAGAACACGGCGGACGTGTTGACGGCGAACGTCTTGGTGTATTCGTCGAACGACTGACTCCAGAGAGCCGACTGGTAGTCCTCCAGCGACGTCTCCCGGGTGATGGAGCTGGACTGGGGACCCCCGATCCCGCTGTTGGCGATCAGGACGTTGATGTAGCCGACGTCCTTCTCGATGTGAGAGACGATGGATTGGAGAGCGTCTTTCGAGGTGACGTCTCCGACTAACGGGATGATGTTGCCGTGGGGCGACTCTTTGGCGGCGGCGTCCAGCACTTCCTGACGGCGGCCGATGATGTAGACTTTGTGGGCGCCGTTTAGAGCCAGGGTTTTGGTCATCATGAGACCGATTCCACTTCCACCGCCCGTGATGACGGCGACGAGGTCCTTGACGTTGAAGAGGTTTGCGGCCTCGAGTGAAGACATTGTGAGGACGGTAGGATAAGAACGATTGGGCCTGTTCTCCTTTGCTATGTCAAAGATTTCAACTCTTCCGGTGTTTGAAGTTTGTGATAAGACTGTTAGTAGCAAGAATGATGTCAGTGATTAAGGCTGAGAATGGGATGTACGAATAGCCTGAACTCTTGCAAAAAGCGTGCGGGAGAATTGAGTCGAAGACCTCGATTTTTATAGCGAGAGATGAGGGTGTTAATATATCAGAGTATTCTCCATAAGCAATTGATCATGAGCTGCAGATTCCGATGTTTTCCAGTCACGTCAATCTATTCAGTGCCGCACTGCCGGCGCCAAAAGCAAATAAAAAACCACTACACCATTGTACCAGCGCCAATAGGAATCGAACCTATTACGAACTAAATACCCTCTAACCTCCAAAAGCACTCCTGATTGCTAGGCCTCTCGGGCCGGGCCAGGTTCCCAGGTACTAGTACATCCGGAAAGTTCGCTCTTCGCATTTGACTTTCGTCCCGAAAGCTAAGATTACGTTGACTCTTTCGAACCAGATATTGCCAAGCATATTAGTGTCCCTCCATCTTATTCTTTCAAGACGTTGAAATTTGTACATCGAGTTTGGGCGGCGCCAAGTCGGTTGCAAGAGCACGTAAGATGGCTAAACCTCGGTGCTCAGATTCCTGTCGGAGCCTAGATGAGAAAGGAGCTAGGACTGCTCGCAGAAAAGAAATTCCGAACGTAAAACCCCTCGTCCAGCCACGTGTTCTTATCAGCGACTCATCACATCTCCCACATCAACCGTGATCTATGAGCTTTGGTCACACTGGCCATCTCGAGCCGTGACAAAAAGCCAGTCTACGCTCCCGTCCACCCCCTACAGCGCGCTGGAACGAATCCGCTTGCCAGTCCGGGCTTGAGAGAAGTCATCCGTGCCCGTATCCGATACGACCAGCATAACATGCCAACCGTTACTATTTACTGTGTTCTCCCCTGCCAATCTTTCTCCAAATAGCTTAAAGGGGCTGGAATTTGGAATCAGCCGCAGAAGCTGAGCAAAGACAAAATCTTGGTCAAGAAAATGGTTGAGCGCGGAGCAGATCCGACCGCCCAGAGTGAAGACTACGGCGATGCTCTCTACGACGCGGCAGACCATGGAGATCTAATTCAAGTCAGACAGTTACTTGAACGTGGAGCAGATCCGAATAAGCAGGGTGTATTCTACGGCAATGCTCTTGAAGCAGCGGCCCAACATAGTGAGTCTCTGGAGATAGTGAAGTTGTTGCTTGAGCATGGAGCAGATCCGAATAAACAGGGTGGAAGCTTCGGCAATGCTCTTCAAGCAGCAGCGTATAGTGGTTCTCTGGAGATAGTGAAGTTGTTGCTTAAGCGTGGAGCAGATCCGAATAAACAAAGAGGTGGAGACTTCGGCAATGCTCTTCAAGCAGCAGCGTATGGTGGTTCTCTGGAGATAGTGAAGTTGTTGCTTGAGCGTGGAGCAGATCCGAATAAGCAGGGTGGATACTATGGAATCTCTCATCGCAGCAGCGTATGGTGGTTCTCTGGAGATAGTGAAGTTGTTGCTTGAGCATGGAGCAGATCCGAATAAACAGGGTGGAAGCTTCGGCAATGCTCTTCAAGCAGCGGCCCAACATAGTGAGTCTCTGGAGATAGTGAAGTTGTTGCTTGAGCATGGAGCAGATCCGAATAAACAGGGTGGAAGCTTCGGCAATGCTCTTCAAGCAGCGGCCTGGGATAGTAAGTCTCTGGAGATAGTGAAGTTGTTGCTTGAGCGTGGAGCAGATCCGAATAAGCAGGGCGGAAAGTACGGCAATGCTCTTCAAGCAGCGGCAGACTAGTGAGTCTCTGGAGATAGTGAAGTTGTTGCTTGAGCGTGGAGCAGATCCGAATAAGCAGGGTGGATACTACGATAATGCTCTTCAAGCAGTGACACGACAGGGTAATCTGGAGATGGTGAAGCTGTTACTCAGTCATAATGCGGACGTCACTATACAGCCGAAATCGATAAGCCGTCGTTCTCTGCTTCACGTTGCCGTTGAGTCCGGCGATCTTGCTGTTCTGGAAACACTATGGGATGCGGGTGCAGGTATTCATTTGACCACACAGGATGAGTCTGGATCAACACCACTCCATGTTGCGGTCGACAAAGGGGGCGTTGCAATTGCCAAGTATATTCTCGATCACGGAGCTTCGCCGGATATAGAAGACTTGGGGGACACAAATTCATTTCAGTTGGCTATGCGCAAAAAGAATCGCGAAATGGTGCTCTTACTTTATCCAAAAACCACCGCCGGTCTATCCAAGATAACCGCATCAGACTGGCGACTTTGTTCTGGCGGTGTTTCTAATTGCAACCTTGAGATGGTTAGTGATCAGTCAGCCAAGGTCGTTTTCAGAGATAAGAGCTTGGAACGGGAACTTGTTGAAAGGTCATACCCTCTCTCCGGGCGGACAAAATCACGTGCGCATTTCACTGACTTCATGAACAAACATCGCATTGGTAAACGAATGTTGTAAGTCTCATTGCTCCTAGCTTATATGGGGTTTTCTCTCGTACTAAATTTAGAAAGCATCCTTGCGGATGGTACTATGCTGCCTCCTCAAGCTGAATTCAGTGTCCACTGCCGCTGGTGGCACCTGTCGCACGGGCACTGGGAGGCCCTGATGAGCTCAGCCCCAAGCCAGAATACTGTTCGCCAAACAACTGCAGAAGATTGTAAGTACGAAATATCCGTCTGGCGAGATAGCTTAGACGATCACTTGAACCGTTTATTAATGCCGCGAAGGCTTTTTAGAATGTGCGCTGTCTTTCGACTGCTATGCCTTACCAGAAAACATGGACCTTTGGCCGAATGATGTACAGCTCGAAGCAGATGCTCTTCAAGAATTCCAAAGCCGGCAAGGAATTCTGTGGATTATGATGAAGTCTGGAGCTTACGAAGTCTACGATTCGAGAAATCTGGAATCTCGTATCTTCTTCAGTACTTCAGAATATGCTGAGATACCTAAAACGGCGACAGATCTTCTCTGTCCCCTAGTACTGAAGGTCCAAAGCATTTGGGGTCAGAACTTCAGCCGGTTTCAGAAACATCTTGGGTTGATGGTATGAAGTCTTCCTTGTGACATTGAGCCAAATTAATACTCCCTAGCGTACGAGGATCTTGAGATCGAGCGGTAGCGATCCAAGCTTGATACAGTACCTTCTGATCGATGCCAAACTTCTAGAAATCCTCAAAGAAAATTTTACGAAGCAAATTGAAAATCTTCAATCATTTCGAGATTGGTACCAGAATGAGTCGGCGAGAGTGTTACACCAATTGCCTCCCGATGAGGTGAAAAAGAAGATGCAAGATTTTACGAAGGCAAGCGACGAACTACAAACGACAACTGGAAGGCAATTAAGCATTCTTACCGAGTCATCTCAGAACCTGATCCAATTGGTATTACCAATATGTAGTGCGTCTATGAGAGTACAGACCTAATACAGGGAACAGGAGTTCAACTTGACGTCCATTGCAGAAGCGCAAAGATCAACATCGACGAATAAAAGCATGAAGCGCCTTAGCTGGATTACGGTATGGATACTCCATTATAAGGTGCTTTTTTCAAGCTAACTTCTGAATAGTTCATATTCCTTCCATTAGTGTTCATTGCGGTGAGATCAAGAGGAAATCCACATAAAATGGGACCTAATTGAGCTTCATAGAGTCTTTTCGGTATGAATGTCGACGTACTTAAGAGCAACCCTGCTTGGTGGTGGTATCTGCCATTCGCTACACTCACCACGCTCCTAACCTTTGTCGTATGGATTGTATTCAAGCGCAATAAAACCGTAAGTTTGGTGAATTCACAATTCGGCCTCCTCCATTGACTCAATACTTTGCAGCTGGAAGGTAGTCTTGAAACTCGTTTCAGGTGGCTTTTTCAACGGCCAAAAGGAGAAGAGGACCTTGAAATGGGCTCAGAGTCAGGCTTAAATGGACTCAGAGGGACGAAGAGAGTCAAAGAGAGCGACAAGTCTTTCCTGCATCTGGGAAGAAAAGATCATAGCTCAGGGCGAGGTATGGTAGGGCATGACAAGGTAGAAAAATCCGCTTGATCGATGCTAGAGGTTTTGAGACTGACACCGCGTGTCTCTAAATCAGAATCGTTGCCTGTCGGTGTGGTTGCGCGGCCGGGCTCGGAGCTTTTTGCGCACGAATAATGACTGAAGAAGAGATTGATTTATGAAGGCCAGATAGAGAATTTCTTTCTTCGTACGAACAAACGTAGGGCCGAACAATGAGACTTCGCACCTCCCATCAGCTTTCTAGTGAGCCAGCTCCACCGTGACCTCCAGTGTCACTACACTCCAGTACTCTCAATCTCACTCCCACCCTTATCTCCCAGCTCACGACTCAGCTTAGCGCTGCCTCTACTGCGGGTCAAACAGCAAGACAAGGGTCCGAGAACAAGACTACTGACGGGGAAATAAGTGTCTTCAACGTCATGATAACCGCATTAAACAGGGTCTGTATAGATTTCGCGGTCGCAATTGGGTGAAGAAGAAAACAACCTTTATTGATCACGGGCAAAAGGTTCATGCTCCAAAAACTCCGAAGTACGATCTCCCAAACTGTCTATTGACTGCCATGGGGACCGAGTTATGGGGACGAACGTTGGCCGAGTACGAGCCAGGGACCATCAGATAGCTACTTCAAGCCGGCATGATACGTAAGGGAAAGGTACAGAAAGCTTGATAAGTTCTTCCACAGCTCTTCTGAAGAACGCCTTTGCCCTTTGCATCTCCCGAGCGCCAGCCCTTGTAAACTTTCAAGTGAGCTACTTACGTGGGAGTTTCACCTGTTGCTGAACTGCGGGCGCTACTACTACATTGCCATTTGCCCTGCAGCTTTAATCCTCCTGCTCGTGTCGAAGCGGATTTTGTAATGCTATTGACTAAGTTTTAGGCCTTGTAGGATAAGAAACTTTCACACGATAAAGCATGGAACTCAATGAGCACCTATCATCTACGACACGAATGAGCTCGTGTTTGTGTTCCGTCGGTCAAACCGGTTTTAGTCTTCAATCACTGGCCAGATATCACCTTTTCAACCTTCAACTTCTCTATATCCCCCTTGTCTCCTTTGCCCCTTAACGCTGCGATTAGATCCTCCAGCGTTGATATACTCGCCGTTTGCACGCCAAAATCCCGTTTGGTCTACTCTATGGAGCTCATTCCCGGTCCTCGTCGTCTACCCACTTCCTCTTGTCTCTAGGTTTGAGTACTTCTCCTACTCGATCTAGCGTAACTACAAACCCACATTTCGTTCCTCCCTTCCTAGACACTGGTTTTAACAGCCTTTCTCAAAGTGGTGCCGGCTGTGATCACATCATCATCATCTATGATTAGAACATTCTTCCCTTTCAACGAGGCACATACGATATCTACGTCTTCGTCATGCTCTTGGACTTCTTTGCGTTTGAATATGTAGAAGACGAACGACCAGGTTTGAAGATCGAGGCGGTAGAGTTCGAGTAACGTTAAACGAGCAAGGATGATCTCTTTGTAAAGTGGGCCTTGACTTTCCCAAGTCAGCGATCTCTCTAGAACGAGATCTCCCTTATATATTAAAAGCGTTTGAGTCTTGGGCAACTTCTTAGGAGCAGCCGGGAACTTTTTTTGCAAGTTTTAGCCCATGCACCTACTCTATTCACAGCCCCTCTACTACCATAGAAGCACATGAATTGCCGAATGCAGTGTACAGCAGACAATGCTCACTCCTTTCATCTTTGTTCATTCCTCACATACACGAAAGGAATTTTTTAAAATTTTAAACCCCCCGGCCGCCGGCCCCCCCCCGGCCCCTTTTTTTTTTGGGCCCCCCCCCCGGGGGAAAAAAAAAAACCACCCGGGCCCCCCCACCCCCCCCCCGGGGGGGGGGGGGGGGGGGGGGGGCGGGGGGGGGTTGGGGAGGGGGTAAAAAAAGGGGGGGAGGGGGCGGGAAAAAGGGGGGGGGGGAATTTATTGAGAAACCTTGACTGAGACATCGAAGGACGAAGGAACCGTCAAGAAGCACTGGTATAAGGTACGAAGCTCGGGAATAGTCATTCCGACGGAAGGCTAATTGCATTGCAGGACAGGCATTATGCCGACTTTGCGGATGATGGTTTAAGATTTTTAAATAACATGGTGAACTGATAGCATCTTGTGAGGATCGGTGTTAATTGAGGGTGACTGGGATGACGCTGTCGCAGAAGATAAAGCTAACGAAGTCGTTTGCAAGGACACATTTTGGAGAAGAAAGCAGCGGAATCAGCCAGAGACAGAGGGGGGACCGCCAAAAGAGGCTGCCAAGATTGAAGACACAAGAAGCAGGGAACATGTTGCGATGAAAAAACTGTCGGAGGGTGACGCAGTACCATTGGATCATATGAAAGGACTCGACCAGCCCGAGGCGGCAACGGTGCCTAACGTAGAGCCTCCCTCGGACACATCTGAGCCTATTTAAACCATGCTCAACGCTACGCCTCGTACCCATTTTCTGGAGCAGATTGAGACAGAGTTACTCTCAACTTTTGGCAAAGCAAGCTGTTTGAGCCTCCTCGACCATCTCCTATCAAAGTCAAGAAAACAGAAAGCTATCCTTCGCAACGGGGTGGCGATGATGGTCGAGGGTCTGAGACCACGAAACTCGAAGTTCAACATATAGCTCAACAAACTTGGATGGATCCGATTATTGATCGCGATCACCTCCCCCGTTCCAAGAGATGGCTCAACGGCTAAAAGAAAGGGTTAATCCAAAAAGGAGTTCAAGTGACGTCGGTCCCATCCAATGGATATTGAAGCCTGCCAGTGAATAGGATAATCCTCGCTTCACAGGACAGAGTGATCAAGAAGCTGGACCGACAAGTTCACGAAGACGCGAAACTCGAAGTGCAACATGTATTGACGGACCCGCTTAACGATCGGTATAGGAGTAGCTTCGCTCCCAAGGCTGCAAGATTCTATTAAAAATAGTATTAACCTCAAGCATCAAACCTGCGCCCACTGTGGACAAGATTGTCTTGAAGAGCGGCATCTGAAACCTGGCGATTCGTACAGTCTGTTACTCGATATTTGGAATCGACAGCGGTTCTACTGGCCTCCTGATCAATAACCGAACCCCAGTAGACCCCCACGTCAGGGTGAATCGTGTAAAAGGTTATGACTATATACTGAATTGGCGTCGTCGGATTCGGGGTGAGAGATAGTTGTTGTTTTGGTTGTGCCCTGTGTTTACGAGAAGGTGGTGAGAAATAGGCTTACGGTTGAGCTTGTATGGCATAAGTCTATCTCTCGTCCGGGTACTGATGGTCAAGCTCTCGAATATCTTAAGCAAACGATGGCTAAATATAACAGCTGTACTGTTGACCAAAGTATAGCAATAATAGCAGATAATCGCTCATCCGCCGCTATTTCGGGGATGGGGGGGGGGGGTTTAAATCCCTCAGTCTCGCTTTGGCACATGCAAAAACATGGTCGCTTCTTAACGTTGGCTACCACAAACCCCCTACCAGTTAAAACTTTTATGTCCAATGTGGTTATCACCTCAATGGCGTGTCGCTTCATCCCCTGCTCACTTAGCTCACTCGCTAAAGTAGCCCTACCCGTGCTTTTAGCGTTGGCATTCACACAAGGTCGCGCCCCCATCTGATAAAGTACAGGACATCATAGATATATAAGAATTGATTATATGGAAGTTAATCTCCCCATTACCCCGATTCTAAAGATGATAGAATTATAAGACTATATATATATTCGATAAGATATACAGAGTCTACGTAGTCAAAGAATGTTTAGGGCGGCTCTTGGTCGTTAAACCATGATTCTTCAATGTCTTATATCCCTGGGAAATACCGTCTGATTTATTGAATTCTTATGGTATGGTATCAGAGTCGCGGTATCGAGGTGGGGGCGTGGTGTGAATGCCAGAACACGCTAGAGTAATTGGCTTGGCACCATCACAGGCTAACTATTTCTCCGCCGCCAAGCTCAAACATGAATGGATGAAAAAGGGATTCCAACAACCTTTCAAAGCAAGCAAGGCCCACCCACGCAACAGGAGAGCAAAACCATACGCTTCGCAAATGGCTTCCCAAAACCCTAACCCTCCAGTATCTGAGATAACACCCGGCCTCTTCATCGGCGATGTCGGGTCTTCATGGAACGCAAACGGTCTCCGGCAGCACCAGATCAAATCCATTCTTTCAGTGAACGACGAAGCTACCGCCATGTGGCGCCGCGACAGTTTCACCAGTATCATAACCCAAGACCGCCACCTCAAGATGTTCTGCCTCGATTCTTCCCACCAAGACCTCCTGGTCCATATGCGCCGCGCCTGCGAGTTCATTGAAACCTCACTTGCCCATGGCGGAGTTCTGGTGCATTGCGTACAGGGTGTCTCGCGTTCCACAACGTTTGTGATTGCGTATCTGATGCGCCGGGACCGGCGCGGTTTGGACGAGGTGTTGGCGGATGTGAAATTGAAACGGAAAGTGCGACCGAGCGAAAATTTCATGATGCAGCTGGGTTTGTGGGGTCAGATGGAATATGAAATCTGGGAAGACGAGGAGAAGAAGGTGCCGAAAGCGCCGTATGCCAAGCTGTTGAAAGAAAAGGGTTTGACGGCGGTGCTACCTCCGAGCGCGGCGGAGATCGCGTTTGGGTTTTAAAGACTTTGGTGAGGAAGCTTGAATGAGATTCGGGCTTCTGCAAAGAGTCTTAGATCAGTGAAAAAAAACCTGGATCTATCGTGGTTTGCTATTTTGATGAGCAGCCAGTTCATCACCCTATTGCACCCCTGCTTCTCCGGCCCCGCCCCCAGCCCCTCTCACCATCCTCTTCCTCTTCAGAACACTCACCACCTCCATCTCCCCCTTCTCCTTCGCCCACTCCACCGCTGTCCTCCCCGACCCGTCCAGCAACTCCAAATCTCCTCCCGCCATCTCAATCGCCTCCAGAACACCTCGATACCCGTTCCCCGCCGCGTAATGAACCGCCAAGTTCCCATGCATGTCTTTGACCGAAGCGTCGCAACCAGCACCGAGCAGTAGCGTAGCTGCTTCCTTCCGTTCAGCGGCTAAAGGGTTCCACCATCTGCCCGCAAGGTAGAAACGACGGCCCGAGGCGAGCCTGACGAGCGGTGTGTTGCCTCCTGAGTCAAGTAAGTTGGGATTTGCGCCAGCGTCCAGGAGGAGAGCGATGGACTCGTTGCGAGCATTCGCTCCGGCGTAATGCAAAGCCGAAGAGCCTTGGGTGTCCTGATGGTGCACGCTAGCGCCGTGGCTGAGGAGGACCTTGAGCGTGGCGGGGGAGCCGATCTCTGCGGTCCAGGTCAGGGCGGGTTTGTTCCAGCGGCAGTCGGTAGTCGATACGTTGGCGCCGCGGGTGAGGAGTAGGTCGACCGTTTCTGGAGTGAGGCCCCAGTAGGCGGTGATAACGGGGACGCCGGTAGAACTTGCGCTGTTGGACAGCAGGATGTTTACGAGTTGTTCCTGAGCTGTTGCGGCAGAAATGTGTAAGGGTGTCAAGCCTTTGCTGCTGGCGTGAACGTCGGCGTTGTGCGCGAGGAGGCTGTCGACTATCTGGGCGCGCCTCTTGGAGATGGTAGAATGGGAAGAATTGGCGGGTAGGCCGTACATGAGGAATTCGTAGAATGCCTCAAAGTCGGGACCACGTTTGTCGAGGATACGGCTCATGAAGACGTGGTTGGCTTGCATGCAGGCGTAGTGTAGAGCACTGAAACCGTCCGATTCTTTGGCTTCCGGCTCGGCCCCGAATTCAAGTAGTTGGCGGACAACCGCATCATTGCCCTCGAAGGCTGCGAGGAACAATGGTGTTAGTCCGATGTTGTCCATTGTTTCGATATCTGGGTTCCGTCTCAAGAGTAGTCGAGTTATTGATCCAGACTCATCCTTCATCGCTGCAAAATGAAGACACGTTGCATGCTGGTCATCTACCGCATTGACATCGGCATGATTCTTGAGTAAGAGTGTCACAGTGTCTATGTTCTCGGCATTGACTGCACACATTAGCGGAGTTTCACCGTTGACATTGCGGATGTTGATGTCAACCCCGCGGCTGAGAACGTCCAGCGTCAAGTACGCGTCCTGCTTGGCTGCAAGGTGGAGGGCCGTCTGACCCTCTTCGTTCATGAAAGTGTGAACCTGCTCCTGTGCTAGCATACGCCGGATTTCGGGTTCATGATCTTGCTCTGCCAACGTTGGTGAGCGATCAAGTTCGGAGTAATCATTACCGTCTACTTCTCCGTCGAAAGTCGAGACTTGCGCAGCATCTGTTGGTGAAGCCCACGGCGAAGGAGTTGGAGACTCGATTGCGGTAGAAGCAGTTTCGAGAGGCCCCGTCATGGCAAAATTGATATCCTTCATTGTTGGAATATGAGGTTGCAAGTGGTTATATTATTATGAAGAAGGCCGGCTGTGAAGCCTACTATGTAGTACCTAGTGGTGGCTAACCCTACAAGGCTGGGAGCATATTCCAACACTCATGCGTGGGTCGAAGCCTTTAACACCGGCTTGATTCGATGTCCCATGACATTCCGGGCTCTTTCTTGCGCTATTGCCGGTTCGTAGCAGAACCTTTTATAATACGACCGAACATGCTAGCCAAGGCCTCAAGTAAATTTCGAAATTACACGAGCTCGTACATTTATCGAGGCATTAGTCGAGTATATGAAAAGTAACGGGAGGAATTCTTATTAAAGAGCTCCAGATCATTATATCTTTTGAAATCCTCTCTAGCTCCTCAAAGGATCGCGTTGTGTTCTCACGCACAAGGTATTCTCAATATGGAGGCTAAAAGACGTCCAGTGATCACGGAAAGGGACCTGAAAAAAGCAAGGCGTCAATGTAAGAATGAATGGCCGTGGGGACCCGAGCGCTGAAACACACGAAGGAATAATGGATAATGCGTCTTTTAGCCGAGGACCAATAAATTTGCGTGGAGCTCTTTGCTCTGTCATATTATTTCATGCTGAAATTCCGTATTGCGACTTTCATATGACAACGCATTCGCCGTTTGATAGACCTCCATATTCTGTTGTAGTCTTAACAGCTGCTCTTACAAAGTCCTGAATTAGTTGTTAATGAGCTCGTCTGTTATGGCGAAGTACCTGGTGTAGCGTTTATAATGGCGAGGTCATGCTGACTCGAGCTCCTGAGGGCGAGAACATTTTTAGATCCACAGTGATTGCCATCCTGTATCAATTTGACAACTCATATCTTCTGATTATATCACCACTAGCCCTTCCATTTCAAGATCTCTCTTATGCTCCACGCTAGGTGGACATAAACAGGTGCAGTGGTGGATGATAAAAGCGTAGTGATCTATGTAAAAGAACGATGGTACATAACCACATAGAGGGTAAAGAAATCGACCGGCGTTACCCCAAACATGAAATCTTTAACACGGGAAAGAGCAGTCCATTTGATTTTCCTGGTATTGACTTAGACACTTGTGGCCAAAGGAAGAAAGAAGAGAAACAGGATGTAGATGTAGGGTAGGGTGGAACGACATACCGCATTAGTGTTTCCGGTTCTGGAACCACATACAGGGCCGTCTGTGGGATTCCAACCGCCAATACTGCAAGTAGCCGGGCCACTCGTGGTCCTGCTCGTCCACGACAGAGATCCATAGGTAAATTGCACGTAATCGTTCTCATGTTCTCCCACAATGACTAGAGGAAGGGGGAGCTTGCTTGTGAAAGAGTACGGATCGGATGTATTGATTGGATCGCCTAATGTATTGTTAGGAGGATCGGTCTCCGTGTCTCCGATGTCGTTCTTGTCGTTGTCCACCATGTTGACAATGGCGAACAAGTTCTGGCTGTCGTCCGCGCAGTCTTGCCATTCTCGGAGATGGAAGGAACAGGTTCCGGTGGCGTAAGCTGGATGCGGAGCTACTGATGTAGGCGTCGGCGTGGACGAGGCAGGTGTGGGCACAGCTGAGGCAGCTTGGGCAACCACCAATGGACGGATCTCACTGATACTGCAAAGATTCATAAAGTAAAGTTCTGCAAAAGTGATGAGCCTTCAGTGTGTCACAAATTTGGGGGCTTACAATCGTCTTACCGGTGGCGGCGGCTGCGTAGCTCTCAGCATTATAGTCCGGGCGTGTGAGGTTGTTATCGGCTTGGTAATTTCGTAATAAGTCTCTTGCACCGAGTAGTTCACATCCAGTTTGGGCGTCATCAGTGCCGTGTCGCCCTATATCATTGCCTTCAGTAGGTGCTAGTAGGCCGGCCTGGGTGCTAAGAGAATCAAGGTGGGTGAGCTCATGCAGGATAGTTTCGCCTGTAGCCATCAGCATGACGGAAACGTGGTCTCATTGATTGCGCAACTGACCGGCGGTAGCATAAAATTGACAATTCCGCCTGCTGTTGCCTTGATTATCTTTGTTGCACCAGCCAGAGGTAGAATTATCTCGATATGGCACACCGCCTTCCTTGCTTGGGTCATATAGCAAGAATCTTGTTGAAGCTGCTGTCCAGAAAGGCGTGCAGATGTTGATGATCTTTTCATCGTTTGGAGCACCAACGCTGGCATCCGTGACAGCGACACTTTAAAAGTTGGACCATGAGCAGCTTTTCAAACTTCAGAATCGGACGTTTGAGCTTACGAGTTGCTTCCAGTACAGACTGATACACTTCCAGAGCATTCGAATTGAATGCTGAAGTATTGGGAAGTATCGCCTTTGACAGCTGACATCATATTCTTGAAGTGAGTGTATTGATCATCAGTCTGATCGCCACCAAAGTAGTGAGTGAATCTGAGAGCTAAGTTATTCTTTGCTACTTGGGTTTTTTCAGGGTACAAGCCTTACGCTAGATTGTTTTCTCCAATGCTGGCAGCGGCATCAGCGAGCGCTACTGCATCTGTGTATGCTTGTTGAAGAACGCTCTTCATGGTAGCGAATCCATTGCTCGGCTTATAACCACTGCTGGTTGGAGGAGCATTGTCGCAGTTGGCATCGTATGTAACCATACCCGATCTTTTAGACAAATCTCTTCCCGACAAAGCGTTGCGTAGAGCTTCCGCGTGTGCACGTCCATCGCGCTCTCTGCGTACTCTTTTTTGGGCTACGGCGGTGCCAGTAGCGATAGGTTCGGTGTTGCACACCGTAGGAGTGTTGTGAGCGTTGCTGGTCCTATCAGCTACTACCAAAGGCAGGTGATACAACAAGGCTAGGACTAGAAAGGAGAGAGACCGCATGACGAAGGTATTCAGATTGAGTATTAGGTCCAGATTATCGGATCATTAGGGACTATTCTAAACAGCGACACAAGCAACTCTTATATATATTTACTACTCAGAATAGTACATATATCAGCACAGCTGACAACTGAAAGGTTTTCGGGGCCCGAGCTGACTTACGCCCATCCCTTGAAACAAGGATGACAGCCAGAATGAAGGATGGACGATGCAACCTTTACAACAATCATACATCAAGTACCCATTGCGTACTCGCTTGATAGAAACGTGACTGTTACTAAAATTTGTGGGCTCACTCGGGCTTGAATTAGGGCACACCTCATTGTGATAATGAAACGAGAAAGGGGAAAGCAGGAATGGAGGTGGAGATGTTCGAGGTGGCGTGCTGGTGCAATGCTTGTTCTACGTTAGTATACTGATCAGAAACCTGACATGTTCTTGGGATATGCCTCCACCTATAAATAAAATGGCGATACGATGAGTTGATTGGGCTTTACTGTACCATGCCAACTCCAAGTCTCGCGAATAGAGGATTGGAAGAAATCTGGTGGATCAGATGTGGGCCTTGTGCCCTGTTTCGAGGTGAGTAACAGATCCTCAATGAGCATAGGTATGTAGGCATAGGTGGACTTTGGGACTCGCTTGACCACCTAGGACCTTTAGCGTTGTGTTTCATACTCATAATGGACGGGCCACCGAACGCCCTTAGGCGCAGCAGCGCGGCGTGCTTTCAGCTTGGGTACCTTAGGATACAAAACATATGAGACGGCACACTTATATGCATCGGAAGGGAACGGACGTTGCCAAAAGAATGACCCGGAGGTATTTACTCTCACAGGGGCACAGGGCCACAGGGGCACAGTGGTACCCAATGAAGGTCCTGATCATACGGCTCTTTTTGGAATAAGATACAGATTCAGTACAGAGCCTGATTTCATTATCCATGGAGAGGCCGAGTAAGATCTCCAAACTTGGAGGTGCGTAAAATATTCGAACGGCCGACGTCGCAGTCCACCGAGGGTTGGGCATGAGTCCTGTATCACACCTCATTAAAAACGCTATATGCTTAGTCAACGCGGAGCACCTCCTCCATGAAGCAGCCGCCTTATGAATAGATAAGGTGTCCTCCAATTTCAAGACGTCGTATGCATGAAGGAGCTGCCCTTTCATTCAACTACTTTAGTAGCAATCGTCAAGGGCGTAAAGGACTCTCTTCAGTGTAGGTCAAAGTGTCTGTGTTCGAAAGCAGATTTGCAGAAAACGGCTCCGACTACTTCAATGATGGTTGAGGGTGTGAAGAATCATACCGTCTCATGGCGGCATGGTACTAAGCCAAAAAGAGCGACGGCTTCTAAGATAATAATAGGTTACTTCGGGAAGGAGGGGCGTCTTAAGACATGAAGGGTGGAGAGGGCGGAAGCCTTAGAGTAGCTCTCCGAGGATTGAGTGGGGATATGAGTACCTGAGGTAGTTACCTACTGTCGAATTGACTAGGCCATTTCAACTTCGCCGTGTGTAGTCTTGGCATTTATATATGTATGGTTGTCTTATAGGGCACATAAAATAGCCATCTAATCAAGTGTTCCGCCACGCACTTTTCAATACTGTAAAGTAGGTATGTAGCCTTCACAACTTTACTCCGCCTCCTTGTTGCAGCCTTTTCGCCCTCTTCTTACTTTTCCCTTTCACATCATCTTGTAGTTTCTTTCACCCGCCAATAACTTGCGCAATTTGGCGGACCTGGCCTTTTACCTTTAGACGTCAGAATCGCATGGTAGGATTGAAATAATGACTGGTCGAGGAGATGGTCGTCTCTTCCGCCCGTACGTGCCTGTTGACAGTCACCAATGGTTGAAAAAAATTTAACGAAACTATACAGGTCCACAAATCCTGCAGTAAAGCTAGGCCTTACGCTTACCACGTCCTCGCCGACACTCGACCCTTCTTCCTCATCCCCCTTCTTTCTTATCGTAACCGCTCGTATCCTCACATCCCCACGCCCTAACTCTGCCATCACCCTCGCCACTCATCTCAACGCTCTTGGCGGCCTTAGCAATCGCTCCTTCAACAACATTGTCTGCACATCTCCCGTGACGGAAAGCCAAAAGCGCATTGAGATCTGGCCGCGTGGCTGGCCTCACTATATCTGGGATGCAGACAACTTGCGCGAGAGTTGGAACTTCGTGACTGTGCCTGCGAACGGAATGTTGGAGACCAGGCATCAGGTGGACCGGACGAAGATAGCAGAGGCCGGGCTGAAAGCAGGAGAGAGATATCAGGCTTCACTCACAAATAAGTGTCTAGGGACAAGATGGTGGGCGTTAGGATCATTGGAGGAATTTGAGGGTGTGAGGTTCAGGGGATGGGAGGAAGGAGAGGAGGGGGAAGGGGCAGATGATGGAGGGAGATATCTCATGGGTGGAGCTCCAGATGATCTAGCCTTTGTGATCGAAAAGGAGACGGCGGAATTTGAGATTGGGCAAATGGTCGAGTGAGCAAAGGAAAAGTCTTTTGGGGGACTTCTCTTTCTATAAAGTAGTTTTGAAGTCCAGTATGTTTGAGATGCTATACTGTCCAGTATCACCCTTGCTCACGCGACAGTCCCCCGGGTCGCGCGAGAGATAGCTTGGCAGGGCGTGAAATCCAGAGGTCCAGCCCTATTTAGCGTCATCATACTCTGGAGAAAGGTAATCGCTTTGAGACGCCAAGCAAGCCAAGCATTCGAAAGAACAACTTTGTTTCTCCCAACTTATCGCTGAGACAATACATCGACCACGCTTCCCCACCCGAGACACCAAAAAGGTCGCAATTCAAGGACGTCTCGACCTTCTGTCTTTCACACTCCTAATCACAGATTAAAAAGGTGGTGTCCATTGAAGCAGACACCGCTTACTGCCCCCAGTGCATCCCATGTCAACAGCGTTTGACGCTCGTCGACGCCCAAGCCTCTGGTCCTACCTCAGCTTCAATTCCAAGCCGCGAAGACGATCGAGCTCCTTGCCCAAGCACGAGACTCCCAGTCCCGACAGCAAAGAAAATACCCCTCCGAAGGGCAGCTGGGGCAGAGCAGGCAATCTGGAGGGCTACAAAGAAGCCTCGATGACGGGTGGGCAAAGGGCGCGGTTGCTGAAGACTGCGGGCTTCATTACTTTGGTCGTACTTCTCTTATATCTTTTCACTTCTAGGGATGGCGCAGGTGTTAGGGATATGGTGCAGGGTATGCCCAATAACAATATAGGACCCAAGAAGCCCGAAAGTTCACTAACCACTTCTAGGAGCTCAAAAACCCTCGTCTACTTCTACCACGGATAAGAAGATAGCAGGGCCCCTTGGGACGACGAAGTGCTCGAAGTCCAGCTCGAAGGAGAAGCCTTTAATACAGTATGCCTTAATGATTGACGCGGGTAGCACCGGCTCTCGAATCCATGTCTATAAATTTAATAACTGCGGTTCTACACCTGAACTGGAATCCGAGGAGTTCAAGATGACGGAGAAGAAAGAGGGAGGATCTGGCTTGAGCTCATACGGGGATGACGCGGAAGGAGCTGCAAAAAGTCTCGACATGCTCCTTGAGGTGGCTATGAAGACGGTCCCGGACAAGTTGAAAGGCTGCTCTCCAATCGCCGTCAAAGCTACTGCTGGTCTTCGAAAATTGGATCAGAAGAAAGAAGGAGCAAGCAAGAAGATCCTCGACGCTGTCCGCAACCGCTTGGAAACAAAATTCCCCTTCCCTGTTGTCTCTGCCGTAAATGGAGGTGTTGAAGTCATGGACGGCAAAGATGAAGGTGTTTACGCTTGGATTACCACGAATTACCTCCTTGGAAAGATCGGCGGTCCGGACAAGTCGCCCACAGCAGCCGTCTTCGACCTTGGTGGTGGCAGCACCCAAATCGTCTTCGAACCCACGTTCAAATCTCCTTCTGGTGGCATGCCCGAAACGCTTCATGAAGGGGAGCACAAGTATGTCTTTAAAACTGGCGGTACAACTTACGAACTCTACCAGCATTCCCACCTCGGCTACGGCCTCATGGCTGCTCGTGAATCTATCCACAAATCTGTCGTACAGGCCCTGCACGACGCCTCTCCGACCGACAAATCATGGGCCTCGTCTCCTATCTCAAACCCTTGCATAGCGCCAGGCATGTCCCGCGAAGTAAACGTCACCCTCGACAGCGGTGACTTCTATACCACCACAATGGCTGGTCCCAAAGACGCCGCCAGCGCGCAATGCCGTGGCCTTGCCGAGAAGATCCTCTTAAAAGACAAGCAATGCGACCTGGCCCCGTGCTCTTTCGGTGGCATACATCAACCTTCGCTAGAAAAGACGTTTGCGCGTGAAGACGTCTACATCTTCAGCTACTTCTTCGACCGCACAAAGCCTTTAGGTATGCCAGAATCCTTCACTGTTGCCGAGCTGCGAGACTTGACCGCCAAGGTATGCGAGGGGGAAAAGGGATGGGCAAGCTTTGGGGCGGTAGAAGGTGCGTTGGAAGAATTGAAAGGCCGACCGGAATATTGTTTGGACCTGAACTTCATGGTTGGTCTCTTGCACACGGGTTATGATATGGGCTTGAACAGGGAGGTCAAGATTGCGAAGAAGATCAAGGGTAATGAGTTGGGCTGGTGCTTGGGTGCTAGGTAAGTCAACGCATTCAATCTCATCAAGATGCACGGTACTGACACTCGATGTAGCTTGCCGCTGTTGAGCCAGGAATCAGGGTGGAAATGTAAAGTGACTGAGTCGCATTGAGCGGACGGGACCGTCTGGGCTGGGATGCTGTAATAATTGTGGACTTTTGGAGTATCTTCATTGACATGATCTTAGACCGTCGATGTCATTAGGGGGTATATGAACCACATAATTCCTACCACGACCACTGGCATCCTCCCAATCCCTACAAAATTGCTCGTATTTTCATGCCATCGTTGCCATCTTCCTTGACCTCTGCTTCCCACCAGCATCTCACGATCCCTTCCCCACCAATTCCTCCGCTTTTCTCTTCGTATCATTCATCGCCCCAGTCATGCCTTCCTTCGCCGGAGCTCCATCGCTTCCTACATAGACAACCATTTCAGTCAGCCTAGTCCGCAAGCTCAAACCCCTCCTCTCGAATCCTATCCGTCAGACACCGCAGACAAACTCACCCTCCGCATTGCCCTGATCATAAGGTTCCTCCACCGTCCCCTGCCCTTTCTGCCCCGACAACGGCTCCTCGCCCGATTGCTGAGCAGGGTCCGTGCTAAGGCCCGTGGCCGATTTCAAGCTGTCCATTTGGTCTTCGATGTTGGTGACGACGTCTGTATGGCGAAGGGTGAGCAGGTTTTGCGGTGGGAGGATAGATATCGGGAAGGTGTGGTTGGTGCGCTTGTAGATAAAGTAGGTTTGGGGATGACGTTTGAGGGCGGGGCGGGGGAGACGGTGCCGCTTGGGGCTTGGCGCTCTAGTGGGGAGAGAGTGATGTAGGTAAACATAGCACTCCTCCGAGGTACGATACGAGATTGGACAATACAGATTTCATTTCTTCAACAATATTTGCATGGAACAGAACCTACAATGGCAAGCCCTTCCCCTCGCCTCCCTCTCTCCCTCCATTGCCCAACCCTCACTGACACCATCCCATCCAGTCCAAAGACTCCTCCCACACCTACATCCACCTCAACGAACCCCGCCACGCCGACCTCTTCGAAGTACGTACCAACCTCCTCCTCCCCCCTCCCCCTCTCCTTCTTTCCCACCCGCCCCTTTTTCCCTCCCACTAACCCCCAACTCACCACCACCAGGAATTCACCCGCCCCCCGCACCTCCCCCACGAATCCATCTACGTGCCCCCCAACCACCAGCCGCCGAACCCCGAAGACGAAGACGACGTCGTGCCGGACCAGCACGCGGCCTTTGGCATAACGCGCGCGACGCAGGCGAAGAAGGAGAGCGCGTGGAAGGATTTGGGGTTGGAGGGGTTGGTGGGGAAGGGGCCGAAGGGTGGGGAGGTGGGGATGCCGAAGTTGCCTAGATGATCTATTTGCGCGGGGCGGGGGGGGAAGAAGAGGGGTTGGATTTTACTGGTACAATAGATGGGGGATGGGGTGGGGAAGGAAAGGCTGGCGCGTTGGTGGTGGGCTGGGAGCCTAGGTAGGATGATACCCGATGCTCGGTTTGTTCAATGATTGAGATCAGGCTTACGAAGATGGTGGCGCGAAGCGGTGCAATGGCATTTATTTACGATGCTAACGTCACTATAAGCGACTATATCCTCACAATATCCGCCCTTGCTCTATCGAACAGGTGATGCCCGATCATTGTTCCCTCCGCCTGCTCGCGCTCTCGCTCCTCGTCAGTGACTCTCCTCGGGTGAATCGCCAGTTGTGCGTAAGTACCGGCTGCTTTGCGTTTGGATAGTGGTCCTGGGTTGACCACTAGAACGCTTTCGACGACCTACGATGTGGTCAGCTTGCTTTCGCTTGGGGTTCTGGGTGGGCACCGCGTACCTTTGCAAAAGGCGACAGTGCACTAGGCGTAATTAACATATCCGGCCGCACATTCAGCCACTCTCCCAGTCTCACATAGCTCACATCCATCGGCGTACCAGTTGCAACACCCTCCTCCGTGCCTGTCTTGGGCAAGCTTTTCCGATCAGCAGGTGGGAACAGAGGAAAGAAATGGCGTTGCTGGATGAGATGTCTAGGTAGCCGTGCCATGAGATCACTCTCTTTCGTTCTTCCAACTTTGACTTCCTCGCATCGGAGGTCCCAGAGGACGTCTTGTGCTGATATGCTTACAACGATCTCGTTCAGAGAGATGGTCACAGGGTTGGTGACGACCTTTGCTTGCTTCGGGAGTCCGAGAACTTTCTTGTCGAAGGGTTCTTGAGGCCATGAGACGTGCTTGTTGACTGCGTCTCGCACTGAGGGAACGAGTACGATAGTTATATTGGGCACTTGCAGAGCGAGATGACGAATTGGTGTGCCTATTAGGATTCTGAAGACGTCGTTGAGAGTGGCCTTGTCGGGCTCGATGCTGGAATCGTCTGGAAGATCAAAGTCGCCAGATGCGAGAAGCGGATGCTCGAGGTCGAGGATTGGTCCTACCATAACGAGGACATCTGCATATGACTCGGCTGCTTTCTGGCACAAGGCTTGCAGTGGTTCAAATCCAAGATTGTCATCTGCAGTGTATGGACCAGAGGAAACAAGGACGTTGAGGGCATGTGCAGGGTTCTCCGAGTTAGCTTCTTCGACCCCGAGCCTCTCGTTCAAGGCATCCATCGTTGACGGCAGAGAAGCCGCTGTTGGCAGGAGAGGCATCTCTAGGACTTGGTTGACAGAAAAATAATCACCCGATGCGTTGATGCCACGAATCGCAACAATCTGTCCAGGAAAGAATTCATGGGATACCGATTCGACTTTGAGAGGCACTCGTAATCCAGCACCTGTCCGTCTTGAAGTCTCAAGCATCAGCGAAGATGCGTTGAGTTTTCCTTCGAGTGCATCCGAGGCAATCCGTCCAACGGCAATGATCTCGCTGGTAGCCCGGTTCGCTGCATTTCCGAAAGCCGAATCTTCGAGATTGTGATGGACCTGTATTAGAGATTGGAATTCGTCTATCCGGTCATCCAGAACCTCGGATGCTTCCGAAAGGTGCATCGCCATGGGCTTATAAGAAAACTTCTTCAGGTCGGTGTTTGCAGTCAGTCTGACGCGAGACTCGGCTGGTGGCGCGATGGGAGCCTCGCAGGTATTCAAGTGGGGATTGAGGGTTTCGACAATCTGGCCTGCGTTCTGACGTTCTGAGAATGGAATACTCCTTGAGATTTGTAAGCAGCCATCCTAACCTCGCGCATGTTCGGCAACTTACTGGACGCCCTTTGTATTACCGTTGGTCCTCGCATCGCTGGGAGAACTCATGCCATCCGCTTTACTAAATTTGGGGACCGCGGGCGTATCGAAAGCAGCTTTCCTCTTCATTGCGCCATTCGTAGAGCGTTGCGGCACTGGAGTATTTGGCACAATGCCATCCAGCCTGTGTTCAATCAGCAACGGTTGAGTAGCTAGCCTCGAGTCCACCTACATCCCAAACACATCATCCCCCTTCCCAGTATTCCTGGGTGTCGCATATGCGCCCCGCTTGTCCACGCTGCGAACGTGCGCTTTCCCTCTCGATTCTCGCTCTAGCATCTCTTGCAAATCTTTCTTGAATGCTCGAGCAGTAGGGAGGTCGAGTTTGGTCTGCTCGGACCCCATCTTCATGCTGTAGGATTCCCATTTGTATGACAGCTCTTGCGGAGGAATCGAGTGTAGGCGGAGTATGGATTGAAGCTCGCCTAGGACATCGGGAGGCAGCTCAGTCACTGGTGGTATGGCGAAAAGCTCGTTGAGTTCTGCTGTAGTAGTACTCATTGTTGCCTTTTGCAATATGTACAAGTGGATCGCAGTAAGAGGTTATGCGTGACAGAGACGCGATATTTGTCGCGTCGGCATTTACGCGCTCTTACATCCGATACTTGTAAGGCTGACTAGAAAACTGGATTGCATGTATTATTCACTAAAGTACTTTCTCCGGGGCTGTTTCTGGTCTACTTTGCTATCCCCGATCCAAGTTCTGGCATTCTCGCGTTCTAATATATCTCGAGCACTCCCAGATCGATCCTCAAACGGCTCTATGGAAAGAGTACAGACAAAAATGTTTTACCGTACGGTACCGGCCCGATCGTTCTCTTGCAGCAAAATTCCTAACTCTCGGGTTTCCACCATCGATGTCCGCAATTTTGATGGAGGGTACTTAGTTTGTCCGCAAGTCGTGCTGAGAATGAAGCTGGAAGTCCTCACAAGAGAAGGAAAGCTGCTCTGCGTAACCACATATTCGACCTTCAGCTACTCCATATTAGTAGAGGCTCAACAATCTCCCTGGATACTGCCATCCTAAAATCTGTATCCTCCAAGCTGCGTGAAAGAGATCGAAAGTACAAGGTCTCAGACAAATCCCGACGAGTTTCTGATAATTTGGTAAGAGCTTTCCTTTCAGATTTTGGAACCATTCAATGGAATATTTAAGGTGGAGATATCTGTCTTGGACCTTTGAATGATCTACGAGATGTCCAGCGGTTTTCAGCCAGCTTTCGAAAGTCCTCACATCCCATATCTCGAGCAACAAAATCCCAAGCTCCATAAGTGCCAGCTCTGGATCATTTTCTGGAACATCATGGAGTGTCTTACTCGCCTGATCACTGAAATCTTTTATAATCATCAGGTGTTCGACATCAATGCCTGACACAGTTCGTGTGTGAACAAAGGAGTGGACAGTTTTTTCCATCCAACATGTTCGCAGCCAAGGAGTGAGGTTGTATTGGAGCAGAGGATATGTCAGCGTGTCTAGTTCCTTCATGTTCTATACATGCGTCCCTTCTACATCCTTCCATGCATATTCCATCATTGTTCCTTTCATATAGCTAGCCATAGATAGCAATGCTTTATTCTCCATCAGCTACATAATAGCTGATAGCCCCACCACTGAATCTACATACATTCTACATTATCACCGTTATACCTCGCTGAGAGGTTATAAGCCCCCGGTTGATGCTGGTGATACATTAACATTCCAATTGCATCAAATTTCAAAAGAAAACACACCCACGTCCTTCTAGCCACAATGGGCAAATCAGGACAACAAGACGATGATGGCCAACAGCCTACACCCACACCAGAGGAGTTACAGGAATTATACGACCTACGGAGCCAGAAGGCAAATCAGATAAAGCCTGAACAGTCACGGCCCAAGAAGATCTTCAAATTCGCTATGCCCTCATCGACAGTCAACATCCCTACACTTAAGGAAGCATCCAATTAAGACCGCTAATACCAAACGGTATATGATTGCTGTCAGATAGCTGGAATATACTCGATCCTCGCTGGAACACTAACCCAGCCACAAGGGGACGAAGAGTACGATGAATGGGAGTCCGCTAACTCATAGATTGAAGGCAATATCCGTATGTCTCTTGAGTCAGGTGGCCATGCCCACATCGCAGGTATCCATGATGCACACAACATGATCAAAGCACTCGAAGGTGCATACAAATCCAAAGGATACACCTCCCGTAAAGTACTGTGGAGGACCATTAGCCATGCAAGCTTAGCTGACTACAAAGGAGTCACTGAGTACGTTAAGACAATCAAAAAGGCCAAAACAAAACTCGCTGAGTTAGGCCACCATTACACGTGGAAGATCACAACATCCTTCCTTCATGGACTTCCCTCCTCTTACGAATTATTTATGGAAATCGTCTTAAACAGCCGAGGCAAAGACGCCAATAAAAGGCTGTTGGAACGGGATTTCGACTATATCGTCGAACAACTCCTTAATAGAGAACGTCGTCAGAAACTGACTAGTACCAATGACTCCAATGGCAAGGCCATGTTCACAAACAACAAGAACAAGGGGAACGGCGGCAATGACCGCAACAACAACAACAATTACAAAGCCACCCCCAGGCCCAAGTGTGGCGACTGTGGTCGCCACCATGGTAGGACTTGCTGGCTATCCAACCCCGACCAGGCCTCCGCTGAGTGGGTTGAAAAGAACAAGGACCGTATCGAGGAATTCAAGAAGAAGAAGAAGGCTAGCAAGCCTGCTACCTCCACCGGATCCACCGAAAAACCAAAAATAGCAAGGGCGGCCTGCCCTGCGAAGGCTGTCACGACATCACGTGACGACGGCTGGTATTTCGATAATGCAGCCTCATTCCACATGACATATTCCGAAGCCTATTTCGTTGAGGAACCAACACCCCTCGAAAACCCCATCCCAGTCGAGACTGCTGACGGAAGGATACTGGAGGCCACTGCCGTGGGCAATGCCCTGCTAGAGACCCTCATTGAGAATAACGACGGCGAGGACGAAGAATGCATGCTCACACTTGCAAACGTCCACTATGTCGAAGGTCTATCCACAAATCTACTCTCCCTAGGCACGTTCCAACGTAACGGCCTCACTTACACCGGAAAGGGGGACCGTCTGAGGGTCTATGACGACAATGACGACACCGTCCTTGAGGGAGAACTGATAGACACACTTTGCAAGCTGAGACTCACATCATTTGAAGCTGCAATGGCCAAAGAGATCGCCATGGCCGCGGTTATCAAGAAAGCTAACCATCGAAAGGCAACAGCCATTGAATGGCATCAAGCATTGGGCCACCTGAATTTCGATGACGTTGCCAGGCTACCGGCCATGGTAGAAGGAATGGAAATCATAGGCAACACCAAAAGACAATTTTGTGAGCCATGCACCTACGGAAAACAGAAGAAGCCAGTACCAGAAGCCAGTGCCAGAGATACCCGATGCCTGTGTCCGATGCCCGTACCAGAAGCCAATACATCCCAAACGAAGTCAATCACTCGATATACCCTACAACCAGTGTCAGAAGCCAGTGTTAGAAGCCAGTACCAGAAGCCAGTGCCAGAGATACCCGATGCCTGTGTCCGATGCCCGTACCAGAAGCCAATACATCCCAAACGAAGTCCACAAAGCCCTCTACGGAGGCATTCGACAAGGCAGTTAGGGGAGGACTCGACAGTTTAGAAAGATGTCAGATGCCAGTGTCAGATGCCAGTGCCAGAGCCAATAAGATGCCCGTGCCCGATGCCAGTGCCAGAAGCCCGTACACTTCGAAGTCGAATCAGTCACTCGATATACCCTACAGCAAGCCGCCCATCAAGCCCTACACGGTAGGCACCCATATCACTTTAAAACAACTACTCACCTACCCCAAAGAACGACCCCATAAAGAACAAGTACACGAGGATACCTAGGACGGTCTGAACGATTCGGAGGATCCTAAACGGATGTTATTGGACTGGGGGAGTCAAGGAGGAGTGTGAACACCAAAAAAAAAAAAACCAGAGCGATTCGGAGGACCCTGGACCAGAGCACTAGAATGATACATGATTTTGGCGTTGGAATAGAGGTATTTGGATGTCACTAGACAGGGGGAGTGTCAGCGTGTCTAGTTCCTTCATGTTCTATGCATGCGTCCCTCCTACATCCTTCCATGCATATTCCATCATTGTTCCTTTCATGTAGCTAGCCATAGATAGCAGTGCTTTGTTCTCCATCAGCTACATAATAGCTGATGGCCCCACCACTGAATCTACATGCATTCTACATCATCACCGCTGTGCCTCGCTGAGAGGATATGCTAATTTACGGCAAGCTTGATGCGATCTTCCGGATCCAGTTGCCTCCGCTCTTCCAGGACTACATCCAAGCTCATAGTCCGCTCGCCTAGTTGCGCAGGTCGTAAGAAATTGTAAGGCGCCTCCATACGCCAAAAAAGCCGGTTGTCGCTTGACAGCTGAAGCACAGGTGGTTGAACTTCTGCAAGTGTCTTGCAAATACTCGTTACCTCGATGGGCACTGACCCTTCTGGGGACGGTACTTCACCAGAGGTGATAACAATATCCGGAACTGCTGACCGGGTGACTGACTTTTCTGCGGAAGTCGTTGCCCTTCAAACATATCTAGTTTTCGCCTGTGTGCGGCTCTCTCCGAGCGGAGCTCCCACTTACGCCGTATTGCGAAGAACATGAGTACTGTCTTCCTCAGGCGTCAAATGGATGTTTCGTGCCACGAAACGCTTTCCTGAGCAGCCTGATCTTGCCATGAAACAGGATAGTGAACCTGACTGCTGTCTTACCAACTCCCGACGGTGACTGCAGGGCGTGGTATGCTTCCTGACATCGAGGCTCTAGACGAAGCATGGCTCGGTGTCTCTCATGACATTGCCGACTCCAACCACAAGCAATCGCACGAAAAAGAGCATTTGCATGCTTTCGTACCTTATGTAGGGAATTCGCCACCCTGGTTTGCTTGGCTTGTTGCAGCTCCTTATTCGATCTCTGAATGTGATGCAGGTCCTCATTGTCGTCCACGAAATTTTTAATGGTCAATGCTGAGTCGCTCAAACCTTTCAGTAGATCGTCGAGGCTCGGCTCATCCATAACAAAAGCCAACCTCTGACTGAAACGGTAATGGCCCTGATCAAGCTTGTTGGCTTCGAGAAAAGCCTTTAAATCTTCCTCATCTACCTAGGAAAGTCTTAGCGACAGAGCCGCAAGAAGGTAGGATCCTTCTCTGTAACCGAGGAGGTCTGAGGATGCCAACCAGCTTCTCGGCAATCTCCTCGAGATAACTCTCATATAGACCTAGGGTGCCTTGGAAGCTTCGAATGCGTCACCAGGCTGTAAGTATTTCCTGATCTAGTCGGCGTTATCCCCAGTCCAAAATACGTCGTTGTAGTCCTCTGTCAGTCTCACGAAATCCTCATTCGGGGCCGCGCGGCTAAGTAATTTAGCAAGGTTTAGGTGTAACCATGCACTTTGAACCCTTGAGCCGCAGTCTGAGCCTTTCGACCTTTACTTTATATCTCTTCTGCTTGAAGCAAGAACGATCCCCGTCTTTTCGAGCCCCTTCTTGTACACCGAAAGTGCCTCAATGAGGAAGGGTAAGACGGCCAAGACAAGGCCGGCTGTTTCAATTCCAGTCACCATGATACTGATTGGGCCCACCAGAATGTACGTCTGCGGTAATGGTCACAAATTTGCGTATGCAGATGAAGACTGAGGCTGAGTAAGTCGGAATGTTCAGGTACGGGGATATCTTGGTCTTGACATAATCTTGCATGACGGGCGGCATCCTAGCAACTTTTGTCTATTATATACACCATGTGCATCTTTGGATGTCATCTAGGTGCCACATTAACTATCATTCCCAATTCTCTCGACAAGACAGACCTGGCAACACATGGCCCTAATGCTTGGGAAACCTTTCAGGTCGCTTATGAGACGCCCGAAAAGAATGCTTCTATGGCTTCGGAACAGCCCGATGCTGCGGCGTTGAGGTCAGAGATGCAGCGGTTTCAGCTTTAGGCTATCAATCTTGGATTGTTCCGTCAAGATCACGGTTCTCTAGACTACCGGCTCAGAGACAACGAAGTTGTGAGGTCTTTTACCAGCGAACTGCTTACAAATTTGATCGGAGCTCTTGAAGGAACTATGCCTTCCTACTTGAAATGTATAACTAGTACTGATAGAAAATCAGTCGCAAGCATCTCCAACTCTCATGATCAAGGATCCCCGTTTATGGTCTCAGAAGCGCCCCATCCTGATGCATTGAGAGCTGAAAATGATGAATTGCTGTGTGAGAGCAACGATGGAGGGTCTTTCTTCAGCCCCATCATGATGGGAACCTTGAAACGACACCAAGGATGAAAACGAGTCAATGCTCGTATTGCATTTGGAAGACGTGACAGAAGCAATCAACCAAATGTATAACCTTGCGTCCCAAATACGCAGCCCTAAATTAAGGACAATCCGTACTGATATTGATATCTACAAGAAGGTAGATGGCGAAATCAAGTCTGAGTACATCAAAATGAGGAAAAGGGCCGACCTGCAGGGTATTGAACAAATTGTGCTGCAATCCCGAAAATTGTTGACTGAGTCTCGAGATGAGGAAGCGGACCTGGTTCTAATGCATGAGGATAAGTGCCTCATACAGCGTCTACAAAAAGCGAATCACGCTCGTCGCCAGCTGTTTGAGTGTTGGAGGCGGTCCAAACAACAATCTATTCAAGCAGCATCCAAGGCTATCGAAACCGTACCTAGTTCACAACATCATGACGAAAGGCTGACGAGAGTGCCAAAGCACCACATACCCTCTTCGGTGCAACCCTCTGAGGTTACACGATCATTGTTGTCTTCAGTTCCTGCGCTTCCCAAAGACTATATCCTGAGGGGTAACAACAAATATACGTACTCGGGAACGAGTCCAGGTCTCACTGTTCATGGACTCTCCGGTGAAAAGGTCAATTGGCCAATATCTCCTGTCGCTGGTCCCTTGAAGGAAGACTTTGAGTGTCTTTTCTGTTTCTATTTCTGTACTCCAAGGTACTCTGAAGGCGCTGCTTGGAGGTTTGTGTCCCATTTAAATATGCTCAGACAGGTCGAAAACTGAACGCTGGGCTAGATCGCACCTCAAGCATGACCTTCGACCCTATGTCTGTACATACGATGGTTGTACCGAACCAAATTTGCTATACGATAGCTGGGAAGAGTGGACACGCCATGAGCAATGGGCGCATCAGCAAAGTATATGGCGATGTCCGGACACCCTCAGCATGAATACGTTGAGCTTGCTGTGTACGAAGATCACGTGAGGATTTATCATGCGGCATCTATCCATCAGCAGCTTTCCTCCGAGCTTGTGAAATCCCAGGAGTCCGTTTCGCAAGTGTGCGATAGACCTTGCCCCTTCTGCCGGCTTGAAATTGAGCGATCAATTGATCTGCAGCAACATATTGCAGGCCATCTCGAGTCGATCGCGCTGCTCACTTTACCACATATGGACGACACTGACGAAAATTCCGAAGCAGGAAACGCAAACTCAAATTCAACTAATCGTAATTATGCAGAGTCTAAAGCGGGCGACACTTTGACTGCGCGGAGCCCCTGGTCTTCGTTGAAAATAATCACTCGGAAGGTACTCCTGTCGTGACAAAGATAGAAGCAGAGCTCTTGGAAACCAAGCTCGAAGCTGAGAGAGTACCATTCGAGTCTATGAAGGAATTCAACGTTGAAGCTCGTCAAGTGTACTCGAGTGGATTAGTCGAAAAATGGTTGTCCGGTCTGCCGCGTGAGCTCGGAGAGTATAGCGGACTTCCTTTTTGGACTCGGAAGAGCAAACAGCTTTTCTGATCAACGAGAAAAAAGTAGCAGCAGCCATTGGTGCAGGGATGTGTTCCAGCAGAGCCGACCATCAACGCCCTTGGGAAGTACAGTTCAACCATCAGTATCTCTCGGCGAGCATGAGCCAGGGACTATGGCCCGTCTGAATGAAGAGTACATCAGTCTGATCGAATTATCATTTGACAATGGTGATATCTTCGTGTGACTGTACAAATGCCCTGAAGATGGCAGGTCCAGGTTTCTTTGCCACACAATACGGCCCGCTCGTTCAAGGAAAGAATGTTCTGTACGTCTGGTGTCATGAGTTGTAATCAGAAGTGGCCCTTTTCTAAATCTTCATCGAGTCGATCATCGCACGAAAGCTCCTGAGCTTTGGGCTTGCCTAAAATTTCCTAGTTACGAAAGTAGGTTTATGATCCTCCTGTCCCTCGGGCTATCGCTTTGACGGCGGCCAGCGTTAGAATGAAGTATTCCCTTGATGGAGATCCTAGGAGGCCGCAAAAGCGACAGCTCAAGGGTTCCAGTAACTCAGCTAGCGGAGAATCAAGGACTGGTGTTGTTCTTCTGCTCTTTCCTAGCCTTGAGATCCGAGAACGTGGTGAACCCTATAGTAACAATTAAGGATTATGATATACACAAGGAAGATGAATTGTTTGCTGGGTAAGAACTTTCAAAGCTCGATGTATCACATGCTCAAATCATTCAGGCGCATCATCGACCATCATTACGAGCACGCTCTTCGGTTGTTCCGCGAAAGAGACACCGGCGTTGTAAGACTGCAAGCTTCGGCGCAAACCGGTGCCCTACAAAGGAATCCAATGTGGACAGCACTCATCACCCACCAGATGGATTCTCCCACATAGCTATCGCGTAACAGCCCTCGTGTAGTTCATATTGTGGAGCTACAACCATACATTCTTACAGAAGAATACGACCCTCGAAAGACGACGCCAGGCGCATCTGATCTGACCATCATCATGCCCCGCGGTACTGCGCCGGATCTAGTGGACTTAGTATAAATGCTAATTAGATCAGATGCCAAAGACTTCGTGAAAGCCATTAGGTCTCTTCGCAGTGTGGAAAAAAGCCGACATGGAGCAGAAATTGTAGGGAAGCCTGATATCAGTTGAGCTGGTCTTCTCAGCTGTTACATGAGAGCGTCTCGGAGTGCTCATATCTTCTCCCGAGATCTAGACCTCGTCATCAAGGAAAGTGCAAGGATTGAAAAAGTATCAAAAAGGAATGCGAAGAGCCTGTTTGTTCAACATCCAAGCTTGAACTCTGTGTCCGCTGGTATATTGTTCCAGTCTCTGCCACCTTGCCCTGAACTTTGTAGAGCAGACCCAAGTTGTTGACGGTGTCGAGTATGGACATATATCCAAGACCCCATACCTACTCTTCCTCGGCTGAAGTCCCACTCAAAAGAGGCACATGCTCGGGAGATGCTCTAGACATTGGGTAGGAAACGTGTTCGCCAGCGTATCAGGATACTCCTTACCCACGACGGTCTCCCTCAGCGCTAGGGTGGTACAGATGTGGATGGTCTAAATGGCTTTCATCCCGAGCCAAATTTAATACTACCCAACGTTCTGCGACTGTCGCTGGCAAACGTCTTTCTGGCGATATCCCCTTCCTATCCTACTCTGTAGCAGTCGCTGCAGTTCCAACCTCCATATTCAACAATATTTCTATCCACTTGAGCACCGCTCGAACGCCCAAAATGGAGAATCTCGAGACCTCCATAGCGCATATCCTTTACTACTCATTCTTACACTCTGTTATCTCGGTCTTTTCCGCAGGGTTGCAGCTGTCCGAAAATGAAACCTTTCTGAGGTTTACTTTGCCCGCCGAATAAGCATGCGCCCGTTAAAAAACGCCTCGAGTCGAATTGAATGAGATGAAAATCGGAGAAGGAAATGTCTTCAAAATATCCCTACTCTCCTTGGGCAATGGCACAGAGGGGATAGCGGTGGCGAAGTGACGCCCGGAAAAAGAAAGGCTTTCTCTTCAGTCCGAGTCTTAGAGGAGAGGCTCACACCCAAGCGACCCCGCGCGGCCATTACACAAGCCTGAACGCAATATTCCAATTTCTAGCTTGCGGTATTAAGCAGATCCTCCCTCTCGAAGCCCGCTTTTTCGCAGACTTTCCCGCCACCGGCATTCAAGCACAGCTCTTGCTTCTACCGTGCAGGATCAGTCCCATGCTCCTAGAGTGACGGCGTTCATTCGGAGGTTCGTGGCCTGTCTGAGAGCAA